TCATCTAAACGAGCTAATCTATTATCCTCTCAGATTTAGAAATGATAATACTAACATAGAAATGTGTTGTATTCCTCCAGCACACAACACATACATAATCTCAGGTTTAAATATCGTTTTAGGAAAACGAGCTTACTGCAATCTGCATGTGATTCACCTATAATTATTGCACTATTATTATGCTTCGACTACCCATATGACATATAATATAGAAATATAAAGGAATAATCATAAACTATATACAAGCCAAGATCAAAATATAGACTAAAGAATATTGATGTCCAATTATGAAATACAGCAATATATGTTGTATTATAAGCCAATCAACATCCAAACACCAATTAGGCCTATGGGATAATTATGAGCAGGTTTATTCTATTGAAAAACCAAATAATAACGGTCAGACAAGCAAATGCAAACTCTTCACAGTGTTTCCAACTTCTAATCTGAGCTCTTAAGCAAACATGCCTCCTATCACTAATCCCCCTGTCCTAGGCCTAGCCCAATTAATGCAGAATGTTGCTCAACAACACAGCATGCACTGGGGAAGAAAGGGAGAGAAAGAGAGAGTGTATGTGTGTGTTCCCCTACCACGAGTGAGGGTTGACCTCTGTACAGAGTGACCCAAGAGAGATAAGGGAGAGATGGAAGAGGGGGAGAGATCTACTCTGCTGTTCCAACACTATGTATCTACACTGGATCATACACATCGTCACAATGGCACTGTATAGTATATCACCTAATTTGCAATTAGAGTAGGTACCATTCATGATATTAGATTTACCTTTTCTTTATCAACCCTAGACTAGCTTTATAGTATTTACATACTCCAATACTAGGTGGAGGGTATTCGGATAAACGTTCATATAGCAGTTCGGTACTTCGTTTATAATTTGACAATTTTTTTTTTGCATCAGAAAGTCCCAACCTCAATGGAAGTACTCTTACAATGTTCTTTTCTGACATAGAAATAAAAATCAATACTTTTGAGAACGGTAAGAGTACCACGTGCGTCGATCACCACGTGCCCGTCACATTTTTGCTTGTCTACGCTGCATGCACCCACTGTCGATCCAAACACACACATACAAGGTATTTGATTGGTCGATCAATTCCAGACGCATGCGCAGTAAATAGCACACGTCTGGAAAAGGGCACACGTGTGCTAATAAACTAGCAGACGTGTGCTATCGCACCTTGCACACGTCTGCTAAATAACAGTCGGTGATTGGTCAATTAGCAGACGTCTGCCTGTTATTTAGCAGACGTGTGCCGCGTTCCATACGTCTGGGGCACGTGAATAAAGTCACCAACGGCTTTCCATACGCGTATGACATGACTGAACCACGCGTACGCTATGTCAAAACCATGCGTACGTTAAGAATTACATAGAAGTATAATGGAAAATGACCATGCGTACGTTCTGTCAGAACCACGCGTACGTTATGATCGACCCACGCGTACGTTCTGTCGGGACCACGCGTACGCTCTGACATGCACGCGTACGGTCTTGGCACACGTAATGAAGGCGATAGCCAACCATACTCTACTAGTAGGCTACACGCGTCATGCGCAGACGATATAGGACAGCTGAACTAAATTTGGGCACGCAGGGATAGGACCACTTCCCCGCCAACGTGCAATCCAAGACATCCTAGTAGGCTGCATGTGACCCGGTTTGGATTACAGAAGACCCCGGCCGTTGCTAACCTCACACACATTTCTTGAGAGTTATCTTCTCCTGTTGCATGGCATGGAGTGCGTGTGTGTACCGTGCTTCATGCAAGGCTTTAGTGCGCCAAATGTGTGTATGATTTGTGTCTGTGCATGTGGAGCGGGTTGGTAGTTTTGTTCGCGCTGTCGATCTACACTGAAGATGTCAATAGAAGTTGTCACCTCTCTCCTTTTCTTCCAGTCTTAATTTAACCCCTCGCTCGCTCCCCAACTCAACAACTTCTTTATTAATATACCACATTTGCGTTCTTCGATTCCATTTCTATGCCCGCGCTTCCTATTCTTCCCAGTTCTCATTCCTTCAACTGTTAAGTATTATACCCTACTTTCGTTGGTATCATTAAATCATTATGTCTCAGGCTCCCACAGCAGCAAATATCTCTGCGAGCGAAAGTGGCGGATATATAGGGGTACAACCGGCTCGAGCCCCCTTTTATTACCCAATCCGGAATATCTCAAAAACACAATAAAACTTTTTGTTTTCTTGTACCCACTACTTCTCAGGTTGAGATCCAAATGGCTTGCTCTTTATAACAAAATTATCCTTTCGAATTCTACCTCTTATAATATTTTATTACTCGATTGGCCTTTGGTGTTTCTGGCTCTGAGTTAACTAAAGTACTACGGTAAATGTTTCCCCTCTTTCATCCTCTTTCCTCTAAAAAACAATAAATTAAATATTCTCTATTAATTAAACCCATCCCTTCCTTACTGCCTTCATCTTTCTTGGCCTCGCTATATACATCAGATTATGATCAGTGTCGGATTCAGGGGAGTGCCAAAGGGTAGCATCTGCCAGTGCCACCGGCTAAACCCAATCTGGCGTTACGTACTGAAGTGCGAAAGACACCCCCCTTAGAATATAAGTGCTAAGAATTTTTCTCAAGTTCTTTATAGCTTGTCATAACATTTTCAACTAATAGTAGTCTTTTATGCCCTGATATTTTTGCTTGCTAGAAAAATCTGAAATGAAAGAAAAAAAATAATCTCAAGAATTCGTTCAAATTTTGTTTGAACAGGCTCCCCCCCCCCCCCGGACCAAAGAAAAGGATCACGGAGCCGCCATTGGTACACTGTAAATAATAGCTGCCCCTTTTGGGTGACCGTGTAACTAGACCCCCTGACTGTCCTACTTCATCATCATCTGACCTCAACCTTTTTCCAATAGATGTTCTCAGTAGCGGATATCGGGGGGGGGGGGGCGGCCCCTGCACCTTTAAAAAAAATCATGCATAATCATTATCTTAAGTATATGCAAGCAGTGTGTCCCTATAACTATAGTCGAGTGTTGTGTCCTCCCCATTTTGTAACGTAAGACCAAAAAGTGTACCTGAAGATTGTGACAATCCCTTTAAATGCTTGTCGGAGATCTCTCGAAGTTGTGCCCTCCTTTTCCACAAATCCTCAATCTATACCCCTACTTCTTTCATAACGTCATAGCACATTCTTTAAAAAGTGAATTGTAAGCAGAAAAATTTGTGAAATTGATATACTTTAAGACACCGTATTATTATTGCTGTTAAAAAAAATTTAAAAAAATGAAACAATGACAGGCAATGACAAGCATGGGCGGTGGCTTCTCCTCCTCCTCCTCCTCCTTCTTCTTCTTCTTCTTCTTCTTCTTCTTCTTCTTCTTCTTCTTCTTCTTCCGTTTCTAACTTGTTATTGATAGAATCACCTGCATTTTCTACATACCCATGCTATCCCCTCCTTATATATCCTGCCTTCTCTCTTCCGTTCCCCCTGATTCTCTCCAGTCTCTTAATATTTTGCTCTCACCCTTCTATCTTTCTGTTCCCCTCTCGCTGTTACCCTCGATCCCCCTCCACCTCTCTTTCCACTCTCCCAATCTCTCTCTTTTCACTCACACCTCACCATTTCTCTCTTCCATATATATATCTGTCTCTATTATATGCCTCTCATTCTACTTTCTCTTTCACACGTGATCTCTCTCTCTCTCTCTGTCTCTCGCCCTCCCCTCTCTCTCACTCACATATTTCACTCACACCTCACCATTTCTCTCTTCCATACATCTTTCTCTATCCTCCTCTCATTCTACTTTCTCTTTCACACGTGATCTCTCTCCCTCTCCCTCTCTCTCTCTCTCTCTCTCTCGCCCTCCCCCTCTCTCTCTCGCCCTCCCCTCTCTCTCCATCACTCTTTCACTCCCCCTTCCTCTCTCCCTGCTATATCAACCTTCCTCCCATATTCCGTTCTATTTTACTCTCCCTCTGCTGTTTATACCAGTCTTTCGGGTAGTAGTCCATCGTTATGATTCAAGAGGCAATTAAATCGCGGCTTTAAATCTCGTGGGATCTCGTTCTATTTACTCTACTTACAAACGTGAGAACTACCAGTGCGATGTTTTTTCGGCGCAAATCCTTTGATCTTCTTGATTGTCTGTCCGTTATCACTTAGAATGTGGAAGGCTATTTAAGAAGAGCTTTCAATTGATATGAGAGATACATTGAGATAGGCCTAAATACTAAAATATTTTTGTACTGACGTGCTGCTATAGTGCCCTTTGGTAAGGTATTAATTCTCATAGTAGGTCCTTCGGAGAGGACTACTGACCGCTTGTTCCCTCACCATGGTTGCTTACCTACAAGACACATAACTACGCCGTCTTAACATTCAGGTCAAACAAACAATCACTCAATATATTAACTTATGAAGATTACCTTATACAGTCGAAAATTCTATAAAATTTATTCATTTTAAAGTTCTGGAAACCAGATATATTATTAGGCATATAGATTCTAAACCAATAACTCAGAAACACGACGTTAAAAAAAGACAAAACCAATAATTCACTTTATAATTAATTTTTCCATGTTGTGTTCTGCAAATAAAAAGTCATTTGCAGCAGTTTCTTAACAAAGCGCAGGAAATCTATTTTTACATTTAATATACATCCGGGTTTGTGTAAATATTAATACGTTCATTAAGATTATATGACTTGAGATGAAATCAATGTCTGTGATTACTGCTGTATTTCGATAGAGCTTTTACGTTCGTATAAATTAATGCATCATGTAATACTTAGTAGGGAAGCTTGTCCAGTTGGTATGTCGGAAATATTTGTTAACATGCATTACTGGGTAAATTTGACGAATGATCTAGGCGCAGGCATGGGAGGTTGATTATTTGTCTACGCGAGCTGATCGGCGACCGTGACAGCTAAAGGCATGGAGGCCGAGCCCTCCAGCCTCCCATTTGATACCCTAACGCATACCATGGCCTGCGATCGAATGTCGGACCCAAATACTTGATTATCAACGCCGGGGATGGCATCTCGATTAGTGCAACGCGTGTGAGAGTTTAGGTATAGCTACCATACACATACTCTCCACCCGTCTTTCGCCTAGCTATCTATCCCTCTCTCTCTCTCTCCTCCCCTACGATTATCCCCAGCCTTCCCCGTGTTTAAGCCCATGGCGTAGAATATAACACGACCCGGCAAGCAACCTTTATTGAATACCATTGCACTGGTACTGGACCTCATCTTGTAGAAACAACAAGCGGCGGAGCGATTCAGAAAACCAACTAGGAATTAAGCGATCAAGGTATGTGTTTTGATATGGTATACAACATAGTTATCACTGGTGGCCTAATAAGTTTATATCAGAAGTAGATAGCGTTCATGCACGCTCTGATGGGTTGCACTGATTCCACATTATGTATGTAGTTGATTGTTACGACATGTGTGCAATCTTATAATTATGTTTAGCTAGTATCTGACTATATATACAGCTGTGATGTTTAGACCTCTTTGAGTTTTCAGTCTAAGCGATATAACATGGTCTGTCTAATCTGACATTGCATCATGTTGTTTGTGGTAAAGAATATCAAGCATGATTTACCTAACGTGTAATAATATATATATTATAAGCCCATGGTTATTGAGATAGGCCTGAGAACCAGTGTGAATGGATGTGGGGCCTATCGAAAGGTTTGTTGTTGCAGTGTTTTCCAATACATAAATGTTTCTGATATAGTTTATTAACTTCATTGCAAGTGAATATAAATATATGTTCATTAGCAATTTGCAATCTCAAGTTAGTTTGTTCTCATTAACATTGATGGGGATTTAATAATTCTTTGACAGCATCATTAATCCTTTTTCAGTTGTACTTCAGAACAATATGAAAGCTATCATTACATTGAGTGTCTGATGAAAAGTGTGTGAATATTGGTACAAATTGAGTATTACAGTCATGAACCAACAATTAATGTGGTACGTCTTCATTGGTTTCCTCTCAAAATAATTCATGGCATTTGCAAACTATCCCCAATCAAGAACAAAATATCGTGGTGATCTTAGCGATATCATGTAAGCTTTATATTTCCAAGTGATTATAAAAACCCAAATTTACACTATCAACATTAATAATGGGCATTTATCCCATGATACCGAAACACAATCATGCATAATTATCACCTGTCGTTGTTTTCATCGCTAGAACCACAATAATGAAACTAAAGCTTTACATCACCATGGAAACTATAACTGTGATTGTCCATCAATATCGTAATGATTTCCATCACGATAACAGTCCACCATCACCGCTTCCATCATTTCGACCATTCGCACCAATTACCCCCGCCACCATAGTCACCCCACCACCACCACAACCAGAATTGCCACAACCAGCATCACCACAACCATTGTCATCACCACCAATATACCACCATTTTAATACGCTATCACCGTCATCAACAGCACCATTACCACAACTCCACTACCAATTTCATCACCACCACCACTACACCACACCACAAGTCCACCACCACCACCACCAACATCACACCACCGTCACTACACCACACCACCATTCCACCATCGTCACCACCACCCTTCACCACCACCACCGCAACTACCATCACTTTCCTGCATTACCACCTCTACCACCACCAGTAACACCGTCACCTCCACCAATGTTTCCGCCACTACCTCATTGCTACTAACATACCCATCATTACAATTACTATCATCGCTACCACATTCTGCCACCAGTCTGCTACAAATACCATTCGTGATATCCAACTGTGTATTCCAATGTAATTGACACCAGGCATCGGTATCATAGTACGACAGAGTAGTCAAGTGACAGACATGCATTGTGTACTATATACCTCTCCCATACACTGTCTTCTAATTAAATGGCAGATGTGTACTACTACTAATAAAGTTCATCCGTTCCATTTCCACAAACTTTGAAAAGAGTCAGTTCTTCCCCCATCTACAGCACTAACTCAATCACGTATCCTGCATTCTATGGGGCTTTTTACAGATAAGCCTTGTGTTAAACAAGTTATCCAATAAAATATACTACTACTACTACTACTACTACTACTACTCCAGATACTACTACTACTACTACTACTACTACTACTACTACTACTACTACTACTACTACTACTACTACTACTGCTAATACTAATACTTCTACTACTACTACTACAACTACTACTACTATAGTACTACTAGTACTACTACTTCTAATTCTGCTGCTGCTGCTGCTACTACTAATACTTAACCACCACTATTCGATTAATTCAAGCTTTCTACTTTTACTTAAAATTTTAGCAAGACCACTCGTTAGCATTGCCAGAAGTGGGGTTGGGGCGTTGGTGAGGGGATAGTATTACTTTGATGGCAGATTTGTCGGTACTTGTGTGGGTTGATAAGGAAATACACTGATACCTAAATTATCTCCCTTTCTTTCATATCATATTGCGAATAATATTGATCATAACGTAATGTTTTTTGTATTGCGCATTTCAACACAAGTCGCTTTACAAAATAAAAGTAATATAAAACAGAGAGCAGATAATACCTGGATAATACACTAATGATTTAATTACAACTTCATGACTTTTTTTTGTGTATGAACAAAATATTTGAAAATGTCTATACATATTTGTTAAACATACTACACGTGTACATTATTTAGATAGAAATGTATACTTTTCTAGAACCATTTTGTAAGCAGGTCGATTTGTAAATGTTTCGTTGTCTAATTTCTGCTCTCTGTTTGAATAATGTAACAGAGAGAATGATTAAGATAACGAAAAAATTACAAAAACTACGCGTAAATACGAGAGCACAAGCTAAGAAATTATACACAATGAGACATGTACATTGTTTGAAAAGTTCCAGACCAGTTTTTTTTTGTTTGTAAAATAACCATTTCAGGTCTTCTTTATTTTTTTCTTCATAATAATATAATGACTAGTTTGAGATCTGAGTGATTAGGAAAAGTTGTTCCATCCATAGGACTGCAGTGTCATTCGCTATAGCTTTTGGTCTTTCTTTGGTTTATCTGGACCAGATTCTGAGAAGCTTATTCGAGAGTTATTTTGTAGGGGCATGACGTACGAGGAATGTCTTTAGTGATAGATAATGAACATGTTCTATTGCCATGTCTGAATGCAAGCAGAGTATCGCAATGGACATCATTATTTCCTATACTTGGCTTCTGGTAATGACCGCAGCGCTCATTACTCTAACATTCATGAACATTGTATCCTACACAGAGTCATGCAGAAAGAGGCGGCATGCCTATATTACCTTATAAAGTATGGATAGATGCATCTTAGGCGTCTCCAGGACATTTTTGAAGGGAGGATGATTGGGCACTTTTTGCCAATAATTATTTTGATTTTTTTAAATAGAAATTTGTACTTGAGCAGGTGGAGATTGAAAGTAAATGGAACTTTCTCTTACCTGTAGTCTTATAAAACTGGGTTGCAGAGAGAGAGAGAGAGAGAGAGAGATAGAGAGAGAAGTAAGGAAGGAGGGAGGAGAGAGAGAGAGAGAGAGAGAGAGAGAGAGAGAGAGGGGGGGGGGGGGCAGGAGAAAAAAAAGGTTAGTTTGAATGGAGAATCAAATGATAGTACGGAAGAGTTCTGAACGCAAACGAGACTGATAATTTTCAATTTTCAAAAGGGACGAGATAAGGGAGTTTGGAATATGACATCAGTGAAATTCTTTATATCTTATGTGAACAGTACAAAGAAAAAAGCTCACACATTCCTGAACCCATAATATATTACATGATACATAGTGCCTTTGAATGCCATTGAGTTTAACATTTATAAACACTAATACAGATGGGGGGCTTAAACTTGTATGTTATAGTCATACAAATGTGATATCTTTATAACTACCTTATTCACACTGCCAGTGGTGAAGTTGGTGGGGTAGCACAACCAGGCCGTGCTCCCTTTAATCAGCCCGTCTGGCGTACATAAAGTGCTCAAAGTTAACTGTGCCCCATTTCAAAATATCCACCCAAAATGGACCCCCAAAAAGGTGATAACGTTTTATTATCATTTTTGTTGTTGCTCTAGATAGGTATACCCTTTTTTTAAGGACATGTTTTGAAATCTGAGTAACTTTTCGGTTATGATATTGTCAAATTTCGTCCTATACCCCGCCTTTCAAAACAGTTTTAAGTAAGCCCCATGCCCCTGACTTTGACATGCGAAATTAAGAATAATGCATGCCTGTGGGCCCCGCTGTGGGCACAGCCTCGTTTCGAACAGGATAACAAAAAAAACACAAACCACCATTGACCAGAAAACAAATTATTAAAACAAAAACTGTTTAAAGGAAATAGAAATTCAATACATGGGCAATACGCAGGTTCTTAGTAGGCATTCCTTCTTGTGTTGACTATTTCTCAATATTCAAATAATATTTGACCAATAAAACAAAAAAATTAAACCTTCTCCCATTAAAATAGTCTATGGACGCCCCTACTCATCGTCGCTAACATCTGTCGTCATCAATGTATGGGCGACACACATTACTCATTAATCATTTAACGAGGTACCGCTCAGTGACGTAAAGGGATGTCACTTGAGAATAATTGCGTCACTCATCTCCCGGGTCATACGGTTGTAACCCCCCCCCCCTCACCTCTACCGGTGTGTTGGCCCAGTCAGTAAAGCGTCCGCCTCACAATCGGGAGGTCGTGGGTTCGAACCCCGGCCGTGCCATACCAAAAGACGTTAAAAGACGGGAGTTGCTGCTACCTTGATTGGCGTTCAACAATAAGGGATAAGGGATAGAGCAACGTCGATCTGGCGCTGCCGGGCTCACGATCGATTGGGCAAAAAGAATTTCCATTTTCGGTTTAACTGAATAAAATTTGGAGTGGACTTTATAAGATTAAAAAAGATTATTATTATTATTATTCTTATTATTATTATGGAACAGGTCAGGTTTAGGGGCAGGAGCACAATTAACCGACATGTGGTTTTAAAATACAAATATTCTGCATACTTGTCAGTATTCACAAAAAACGGGCCCTTTGATAGTGATCTTATGCCCCTCTTCCACCCCAAAAGGTACTTATAAGAAACATTGATTGTCAAAGACTTTAAATGTTTTTGTTTGTTTATTATTTGGCTTGTGCGTTCCTTCTATAGTCAAGATTTCCCTTGTATTACTTGTGCCCCCTTTTTAAACAGAATCCCGGATCCGCATCTCCCTTCTCCTTCTGGGAAATGTTAAAGTTCAAGCTGTTGATAGAGAGCAGCCGTACTTGATTAATGAATTAGTTGTTTTATATCAATCATTTATGTCACTGTTAAAAAGGCACAAGAACAAAAACAAAATAGACACTAATTTAAAGGTACTATGTCCCATTTGCAGGCCCAACAGATGAAAAGGTTAAATTCCAGCGGCATTTGAAAGATAATACTAATTTAGAAATTCCCTTAAAAAAAAAAGGGGGGGGGGGCTTGAAAATGTCTTTAAGTGGGAAAATAACGACTATAAATTTTCGAATCGACTTAAGTGCTACCAAGTCAGTAAGTAATAGTCTGATTTTCAGACCATTTTATCGAATGGTTGTACGTTTTGTGCTGCGCAAAGATTCAATCAGTTTGATTTTGGCCATTACAAGAAGTGGGTTATTGATGTAGAAAAATGCTCATGTACCCTTTACAGCTCATTCTATGTATGTTATTACCAAAGAAGAAAAAAGCCAGTTAGTCACTCAATAGCGTCTGACAGTGAAGTCTAGCAAGTGAACGGGTTTCCTTGCATAATTTGAATATTAGGACACTGCTAACGTTTAAATTTCACAAATAGGACATAATGACATATTTATAATTCCTGCAACGTTCTACAGAATTTGATGTTGGCTGCAGATGGTACATATTATCTTTAAAGAAAATATATAAATTCCACCAAGAAACTTGGAAGAGAGCAATTTCTACCTCAAAGGAAATAGGTTTATCATGCTGTACATATTGGAACCATCCATCCTACCCGAATGCACTGTCCGCCAGTTTTATATTTGAAGGGGCGTACGTACCAAAAAGGGTCCAACACGAGGGAAAAAAAATGAAATTATCCTCTTAATTTGACAATTAGTCTTAATATGACGCGATCATTAGGAATTCAACATCTTTACTGCATATAGTATATACTGCATATGATGATACAGAATACAAATAGCACGATGCAGGGTAGAGTAGTAGTAGTACCAAAGAAGCACACATTTCACCTAGACCGTGCTTGTGTGCGTGTGGGTGCGTGCGCGTGTGTGCGCGCGTGTGTGTATCAATCTTTTTCATATAGCTAACAAAATCCTTTATGATTTTATTCTATGCTTATAACAGCCACTGATGATGCACGATTTGTTTATTCCCCCTTTTGATTTGATTTGATATTTATTTATTCCACATCAACATCATATACATTTTACAATCTGATAACTTTAAATGTGTGAAGAAAACCATGTTCACATCATCATTGAAGTGTGAGAAATGCCCCGACGACGTTGTTCAACGATCGATATATTTCAACCCTTTTGATGCTTAACTTCAGCCTGAGACCGCACACTAAACCTAACCCTAATCCTAAAACGATCCAAAAAGCTCGTTGAAAGTATAAGCCTATAACCACAGCCATATATCTTTGAGTATTTTGCGGACAATTGAGCAATGCCTATTGAACACAAAAAATTGATAGTAGTCCAGTATTAATTAGGTGCTTTTCCCATTTTTTTTCCCACAGGTAATAAGCTGACCAAGGAACAGATAGAACAGGGACAAAGTGGTATGTATAAATACACATTCATGCACCTGCACACGATCCGGAAAAATGGTTCCATGGAAGCAACATTTAAAAAAAAATTATTTGGAGAAAATAGAAGTTTTCAACATCACATACCGAAACTTAAATCGATAGAATAAATAGAAATTGATAATTTTAACCAGTTTAATAGTTATTGCAGCTTAAAAGCCTTTAGTATAATCTCGACTGTGAAAATGATTCTTGGCATATCTGGCATATTTATTCATTCTATCAAATATTTCTTACATGAATGTCCTGGTGTTTTTAACACTTTCATATTAAAATGCAAGTTGATGATATTGATATCGGTTTTTTAATTAAAAAAACTAAGGGAGGATCTCTTATTCCTTAGCAAAAAAAGGGGAAAAATGCCAGAGAAAAGAATATATTAAAAAAAAAAAAAAAAAAAATTCCGTTGCCTTTATGTGTCTAAAACTTCAAAGGACACATGTGGGGGTAGGCCCTTACTTAAATATCCGAAAATGTCTTAATCAATTAGTTAACATTATAAAGACCTATCATATTTATAATGATGTTAGATTAATGTTATAGTACAAGCGTTTGGCGTGTACCAACACCCATTCTTAATGATTTAAACAGCAACATTTAGGACTGTCTGCCTCTTTATGCTCGTGATAATCTTGTACAGTAGTTAAAGACAGCTGGTAGCGAGGTCATTTTCGGAATCTAATTTGTTCAAAATGTCACCTTCAAGTTGGTTGATCTATAACAGTGTGCAAACAATGAAGACCATGTGATGATACCCGTACATGATTATTGTGTGTCGACATATCAGGGGCGGATCTAGCTTTTGCCAAGGGGGGGGGGGGGAATTGACCCAGTGGCGGATCCAGGATTTTCCAAATATCGCGCCGTTTTACTGTTTTCCTTTTTTTTTCTATACAGACAAAATTGAGAATGATCCTATCTGTTTGGATTGAAATCAATAAAATTTGAATTTGAATTTGCATCTGACTCCCCCTCCCCCCCCATCCCATCATCGCCACTGCCCTTCCGTAACCGGGTCCACGCTACGCCACTATTATGTTTTTCTTTCTTTTTGTAAACCAACATGGATCTATGGGCGTAAACAGGGAATTCAGAGGGTAAAAACAGCATAGGCAAACCCATGAATGAAGGAGGGGCTACGTAAAACTAGGGGCATCAATCGATCGGTCGGGGCTGCATGGGGTTGCTTAATTAGTTGCACCTGATTGTTCGAGTATCAACAGTTTATTTATTGCATTTAAATGCGTTAAATGCTTCCTTGTTTTTACTTGTTATTCAAATACGTTAAGGGGCATGATTTTTGTATTTTGTTTTATTTTGTAACGACAGAATGTTTTATTCTAAGCCATGTTCTATCTTTACCTAATAAGTATCAACTATTTTATCTTAGGGACGTTGCGCTTCAAACATTTTTTGTGTATGCATTGTTCCTACTATGTATTATATCTCAATGTAACAACTGTATTTTATTATCTGTGAACAATTATTTTACATGGTGAATACATAAAACAAACAAACAATATTTCGGATCAATCATGTTTGCCTCCCCCATCCCATCCTGAAAAACAAATCGGCGCCTCGTCTGTTTACCTTTCGTGACAATTAAAGTGTGCATGGGAGGGGGGGGGGGTGGGTGGAGTGGGGGAGGAGGGGGCGAGTGGGTACAGAGGGCTTCTATAAACACCCATGGCCCTCCTTGAGTGACGTGTATGTGTCCACTGACCTATAACCAGCCATTAATCAAAACATTTAATTGCTTGGCCTGAGAATACCGTTAGGGTTCAGGGAGACGGAGATATCTTAAAGGGGCTATTGGGGCTTCTCTCGAAGTATTATGTATAGGCCTATGCTAAATCCAAATCACAACCCATACAGTTTTTTGTTTTCTTTTTTTTGTTTGTTGTTGTTTGGGGTAGGGTGGCCTGGGGCGGATAAAACCCTGACAGGACCCCAATGATGAACAGTTTTGTTTATTACAAAGCTATAATTCTTGATTTTATCATTTATGAATGAATTTTGTTTTTATAATGTGATTTGTGAAACCATACCACGTACACCACTCGTGTACTATATACAGAGCGTCATCTTGTAATCTTTCAATTCATTCACGCATCAACTGACTCACCTGCTTCATGCACTTCAGCAGTTTATGAAACACATTCGTGACGAAATTCAGATTAAATATTAGGCTACTCCAACATGTCTCACATTTTATCTTGTGCACCCCTCTTTCTTTCTCTTAACCTGATTCGTCCAATCCCTTGTCTTTCTTTCCCTCCCCTAGCTCCGCCCTCTCTCTCTCTCTCTCTCTCTTTTTCTCACTTTCACTGTTATATATCTGTGTTTTTTCCCCTGCGTGTTTTCCGTTAGTATTTCAATCTTATATTTCGAATAACTACGGTAACGTTTCATGTCGTATTTTACAGAACATTGCCAGCCACTTGACGGGAAAACTTTGCAACATCCCCATAACGAGGGAGGAATTTAGCCGCTTTAGAGATTCTTGCTGAAGAACTATGTCAGGTTTGTTTACAGCAATATTATTTTTTTGTAGAAAATCCATGATTCTATATAAACCTGTTGCATGTTCTTTGTTTAAATATGAACAGCGTGTACTACATATTTTGTTTTAATTTAAGGGCTAAGTCAAGATATTAATAGAACAAAATAAGTTAAAAGGAAAAGAATTGAAGTAACACCGGCAACGTTATAAACGACTTTCTTATTTTATTATTTAAAAAATGAACAAAATGAGCCTATTTATTTTAGTCAATTTGAAGAGATAATGATAACATTTCATTGCGCGGAGTCAACATGGTAGTATAACTTGATAAACTTTTAATTCTGTTTTCTGTTTCCTCGAAATCCCCTTAATTAATCCGAAATGCCATATAACTTCTGCAATAAAAGGAGGTAAGTATCAAACTTGAAAATAAAAACATACATTTGAGTTGAAATCAAAACATTGGTGGTGCTGCATTTTGGAAAAAGCTCACGAAATCATTTCTCCATCCTCGTTCAAATTTCTTCATCTTCCATTTTTTGTTGTTGCTCCAACAGGAAGACAAAGTCCTCTTCTGGCGTTCTTAACTTATCTTTTATTCATTGTTTAACCGTTCTGATTTAGATTCGGTTGTTGTAATGCATCGTATTCTTGAGCTAAGTCTGCCAAAAGAAGACAAGTGGCTCTAACCTGTAACTTTCCTTTTAAACATTTGTTATCATTTATTTCCATTAGGGGCGTCGCAAGAAGGGGGCGGCGCAATATACAGAACCTCTTTCTTCCGGTTCATACAATTTTTATTGTCAGCAAATTTCTGATATTTATGTCAGCACGTACGAAGTCTGTTTACGTCTACATTACAATTGTATTGATTTATTGATTTTTTAATTTAAACAAAATATCACAACCGTTTTTCATTCAAAATTTTAATCGGCATATATCTATAGACTTTAAACTACCCTAGCCAGTTAATAATTATACATTCTGGTGAACCTTTTTATTATTGAGCAACACAATTTGCCCTCTTTTTGGCTAGCACAAAAAACGTTTGACGCCCCCAATTGCATTGATTTTAGCGACGCCCCTGATTGTACTGCATTGTAATATTTTACCAGGGGAGTGTTTCACAAAGACTTAGATCGACTTAAGTTGGACATGAGCTATGGCAGGCTGTTCATGCCATTATTTCCTATAACTATTCCTGGCATTGGTTTCTCAAGTGACGTACAAACTGTGGTCACAAATCCAAAGAATATACATTTTTTTATTGTTACATAGTTAAAATATTTTCTAAATATAATAATTGAGAGACCAATGGTGAGAGCAACCAGTGGCATGAACAGCCTGCAATAGTTCAAGTCCAACTTAAGTCGATCTTAGTCTTTGTGAAAGGCCCCCCCCCCCGCCCCCTACGGATATCATTGCCTTGCTATTCTCATTAAAATGTTTAGCTGCATAAAGTGGTCAACCGATGTCTTATTTCTTTTGGATAGTTAACAAATTCTCTCATTTATTTTGCCAATCATAAAGTCATATCTGTGCCAATAAGCCCATAATTCTGTGATTTTTTTTCGCAGTTCACTGCAGTGTTTCATCCAAATAAAATGCTTGAAATAGATTTTGCATGATTCCACATGACCTTACTTTTTTGTCTCAATCAAACCTGCAGTAGATTAATCAAAATTTCTCTTTTACGAACACTTCAGAATAAGACAGCGATGACAATATTTGAGATAAAATGTGTAGAAATCTTCATCTTGTGTATCAGTTTGCCCACACTTTGATCTCATCTTTGAATTGATTTGTTTTAAATAAAAAGTTGTATAGTTGAAATGTACATATTGATAATATAAGTCTATATATATCTGATATGATACATCAGAATTGTACTTAATCATGTACTTTTCAGTGATTCAACACATTTTGCACGAAAACTACATCAGATTGTTCCTAAATTTATGAATAGTGTCGTACTAAAGTACAATAATTTTTTAATACCACACAATTATTGCCATTATTTTGCTTTCGGATCATTGAACATTCCATATTTGTATAGATAACCCATTCATACTCAACCAAAATTAGACATTTCATCATTCGTTCAGTTCATAATTATTTTGGAGAAACATACATTTTGGATGGAAAGTTGTAAATATTCAAATATTGGGGCGTCAAATACTGTTTAAGAATGATGCTTTCAATAATATGGAAGTTTACAGCTGCAAACTTTGTTTGGATACTGTCATGAATGTATGACACATCGCCATACCACCACGCACTCATCATTCATTCCATTCATTTTTTTCCTCATTTTTATTTCCTCCATCTGTCCGTCACCCCTTCTCTTCTCTCGTGTGCCAATGTGTCCAACCGTTTGTTTGGTTCTCCGGCTGTTCTGTTTGTTTGTTTGTCCTCTTGTTCGTTTGGTCTGTCCGCGTATCTATTTGTTTGTCTCTGTTTTGTTTTTGTATTTGATTTATCTGCCTGTCTGTCTCTGATATTTGTGTTTTGGTCTGTCTTTCTATCTTTGTTTTGAATGTCTGTCTCTGGTTACGGTTTGTTTGTCTGTCTGTCTCTGGTTTCGTTGTCTCTCTGTTTCTGTTATTGGTTGTCTATCTGTTTCTGTCTGTCCGTCTCTGGTTTCGTCGGTCTGGCTGTGGTGTTGGTTTGTCCATCTCTCTCTCTTTCTGTCTCTGATTTTGATTTTCTGTCTGTCTGTCCGTCTGTTTGTCTCTGGTTTGGCTGTCTGTCTGTCTTTTGTTCTGATTCCTCTCATCAGCTGGTAACAAGCCAAACTACAAGGGGCCTAAGATCGAGGTCCGGCAGCAGACGAGGTCGATAGAGGAAGGCAAAAGGGTCAACCTGTTCTGCAGACTTACAGAGGAACCAGAGTCGGGTAAGTGACTAACTACTTGTATTATACTCGTGCTTGGGGTAGACAGTGGGAGGGGAGAGGAAGAGGGAGAGGGAGAGGGAGAGGAACTAGGGAGAGGGTGGTGGGAGGGAGGGGAAGACATGCGCCAAATGTAAAGAGTGGAATTTGTACCAAAGAAATACTGGGCAAGCCTGCCTACTAGTAAACCTATATACTTCTTGTTTTTGCATATGATGCTCTGGCGACAATCGCTCCGGACTTATTTTATCTAAGATATAAGATTAGGGCTCGAGTTGCAATTTGGGTTTCATGGTCGAGGTTTAAGATTTAGGGTCGGCTTATATAGATATGGTCCTAGAGACTTGGTTCAGGATTGAAGTTACGGATTCTGTTTCTTTTCCTTTATAAATTGACTGCGACAATCTGTAGCAGGATATATGAGGAACTCCCACAAATTATAATGAACAGCTCCTTGCAGTTTATATAACCTCCATGAATTGAAGATTTGAAATTAGATTGGTCTCTCTGTTTCACTCACTCTCCTGTTTTGTCCATTTGCACTATAGTACACTGGATCCTGGATGATGAAGACATGAAGAGCGGTGGTCGGTTCAAGGTATGGAACGACAAGGCCGACTGCTACTGTCAAATCCTGGTCACCAAGGAAGACGACGCCGGACTCTACGTCTTCAAAGCCCGCAACAAACGGGGCGAATGTTGCACTACGTTCAGCCTCCACGTCATACCCTCGGTCAAACCTATCTCTGACGTAGACGTGAAGGAGCTTCTTTGGCAGAACACCCAACAGAACGAAGAGCTTGTAAGATCCAATAGCAGTAAATAAAAACCAAAATAAAAAGGTGTAGTTTGCCATCAAACGGGTACCGCGTCACCATGAGGTCATCGGATAGAGGTCTTTGCACTTACAGTAATGCCTGCTGCACACGAGTAGTCATTTTCGCTGCGATTATTAACGATTGGCGTTGTCTTTGACGCGCAATGAGAGTGACATTGTACGTAAGGTAAATGCGACAAAATAACGCAAACATTGCATTAATTACTGGTATATCGCCTTCAAAGGCTCGAATGCAGGTAATAATGCAATCAAAATGATGCCTCATGCGCAACGGGCATTACAGTTCCGACCGATCTTCAGTCGGTGCAAGACCGGAAATAAGTCAGTTGTATAAAAGTTTGAGGCGATTTAGTGCTAACGCCCTTCTGCTTAAGGCTTCATTTTTTACCTGAAATTCGAGCTAACGCCCTTTCTGCCAGCCAGGCGACGAAATGTCCGATTTGAAGATTTTCCAAACGTTTGCCTTAATCACAGCAGCGAATCAAAACAAAACAAAAATAAGCTAAAACATTAGTCAGATATAGTTCATCTACTATCTTCATGATGCGGTGCCCGCTTGATGCCGAAATATTGGGGGAGACTTTTGTTTCGAGGAGAAAAAAAAACCCCTCCCCATTTAGATAAGAAATACAAAGTTCGTTGAGGTCTTCCTGCCAAATTGGTCTTCTCCGCTATATCAAGGTTTGAAGAGGTCTTCCATGTTTTTCATTTAAATGTTGATGTGAAGTTAATAAGTACAATGTTCTCGTGGATCTATATATGTAAAATATTAAATTACATAGAAAATAAAGTCTATTAGTTAAATAAACCCAAGCTGAAATGAAAGGCTGGTACAATTATTGTTTAGAAATTTGGACCTGTGACGATATCATAAAATGTGAAATTATGCAAGGTCGTTTGTTGGATAATTGAAAGTAACTCTTCCTGTATAAATAAAGAAAAGTATTGTTAATGTATAATTTCTTTATCAATTGTCTCTACTAAAGATAGCATAAACCCAAATAACTATTACCATTATCAAGCCAAATAATGCATCGAGAAAATTTTGACATTGTATTTCTTTTAAATACCTGAATATACTCTTGCATACTTGTCTTAATACAGTACCGGTACATTAAATTTGTTTTATAAATACTGAATGGAGTTTACCGTTGTGAGGTTCAACTTCTAAGAGACAATGACATGATTTTCTTGTTCAATCTTATACGTAATATTGAGGATGGGCCTTGTATGTGCCGACACTAGAACAGTATAGTACCAAACACAGCAACCGTGAACCATTATCGTCATCGTCACGATTTACCAACAAAACCTTTGTTACATGGTTACAATCAATATAATATTACCGATTGATAATAATCATAAAATCATCAATTAGATCTCACCAGCGAATTCCAGAATTATCATGTATGTGTATGCCGATTGATGAGTGTATATATATTGTAGAATTATTGGGAAAAAAGAATGATCTCCCATGTAAATCTCTCTTTCTTGCATGCATAGATCCCGGCATAGATTCCATACACATGCAACATAATCAAAACGGGTGTACATACCTTTATGGGGGAGCGGATTTCTTTTGCAGTGTCTCATTCCGCTTCACACAATGCGTTGACATTGAGTGTTTGGTTACCCCCGACCCCTCCCCAATCTCTTTACCCATAGGCGGTTTCAACATTTTGATATTTTTTAACTAGAAAGAGAGTGTCGGTATGCCAAATTTTAAATACATCGCCGTTGACTGGCTTGTGTTTTGATACTCGAGGTTACTTCATTTTTTCAAACTTACATTTTGAGATATAATTAATTTAAAAGATAGACGTGTACTTCCGACGAGAGATCATTTTAAAATCTTGATAATTAACATATCACAATTTCATAGTTGTATTTCGTTTGGCTTTACGACCCGTCCACCTGGTGTGCAATTATTAAGTGAAACTTGTTTAAAAAAAAAGTATTTTGTAAGAATGAAAGTGAGCATGAAATGAAAATGTTTCTATCGTAGCCTCTACTCCTGACTGATACATAACGTTTTGACTCAGATATATGTATCGGGCGTTATGTTATATGGAGGCTGATATCATGTAAGGTAAATAATTGATTTCAAACATTTTGTTTAGCCTTTTGTACTAATGAAAATTACTGACAATGATATATTTGTCAAGATAATATGCATTTGTGCCTTTGCACGAATTTCAAAAGTCAGGTTAACAAAACATTACAGATGTAAATGATCTAATGGCAAGATGATTTTTGTGAGACTGAAATTGACAGAGTTGCATCTTTTAAATGTTCCTTTTAGTGAATATCAATAATACATGGTGATGTATTACTTTTTACATACTGTAAAGGTTGTCATTAAATAAAATGTGTTACTGTTCACCTGTTTTAAATTTCATGTAGTAACATTTTCTTTTTGTTATCTATCAGGTGACTTTGGAGTTATTATAGACTTGTGCTATGGAGGAAATTCATTTATAACATGTAGGCTACCGGTATATAGAGTACATTAATTTTCTTCTTTTAGTAGTTCTCATTTTCCTTTTTCCCATTACAGCATCCCAACTATTTTTCTCCCCCCTCTCTCTCTCTCTCTTTCTCTCTTTCTTTCTCTCTCCCCCTCTCTCCCCTTACTCTCTCTCTCTCTCTCTCTCCAGAAGTGGTTCTAGAAGAATAATTGGGGGGAGGGGGAGCTTTGGGGTACTTAAATTCATATTCTTCCTGTGCTTCATTATTACTTTTAGGGAGAGTTCCCCCAATGACCCCAAAACTTCCACTGTCTCTCTATGTACCCCCCTCTCTCTCTTTCTCTCTCTCTCTCTCTCTCTCTCCCCTGTTACCCATTAGCTTTTTTCTCCCTGCTCCAATGCATCAGCTTATGTTCCCCCTCATCTCTGTTAAATAAAATGCTACCCACTTCACATTTCGCCATAAATTTCAATTCTTATTTTAGTATCACTTCGTTTAATTTGCATGCATCCCATCTCTGATCTATTCTCACTTTCTACCTTACCTCTCTTCTTACCTTCCAGGAAAGTGTTTCACAAAGATCCTAAGTCGAACTGAACTCTAAGTTGAACTTAAAAATTATGAAGAGCCATTTGTAGGCTTAAAATTAAATATATTCAAAAGTGAAACATTCAAGTATTTTAGACTTTTCATAAATTCCACATCAAGAACGTGAAATCTCCTTGATAATAAAAAAAATATGAATGATTTGAGTCGACATTTTATCCCTTTTAAAATAACTTTTACAAAATATTTTCATACATGCTCACGGCTTTCGATAATTGTTTAGTCCAACTTAGAGATAAGTTCAACTTCTAGGATCTTTGTGAAACACCCCCCTGGAGTACTGCCATCTCCTGTTTACTTTTCATTCTTTTCAACTTCTTTCTTCCCAAAGGCTAACTAATTTTATCCAAGAGCTCAAAGTGAAAGCCAAAATAAATACCATTTTGGGGTACTATGCTAGCAATCATGGAAAATTGTAAAAATAACGATCCACTATTTATAGTGCATACAAACTTGCAACCTAAAATAAACAGGCACTAAGACAGATTGTAAATGTCTCATATATATTTTAAAACCAAGAATAGAATTGAAAATATCAAAAATTTCCCAGGTAAATAATAATTACTCTAAATATTTCTGAACAACATAAATTCAATTGTTTAGAAGAGTTAATTGCAGAGTCTCTTCCCTTGGTTGCCCAAACATGATATATCCCCAAATCGTCCAGAAGTACAGGGACCCATTTCACAAAGCCTTTTTTACAATGCCAAATGACAAAAATCAGTGACAAGTCTGCTGATAACCAATCAGAAGCAAGGATTTCAGTAACTTATAACAAAAACTGCATTTGTCACTGATGACAAGTTTTGTGAAATAGGGCCCAGAATGTGAATGTCTTCTATACAGTCCAAGTTCTATTGTCAAGGCATTAATCTACATTTGCCCGTCAATACCCAGGAGAGAAAAGTGGACCTGGCAGGAGACTGTGGAAATAATATCTGTAAAGCACTGTATTTTGTATTATACTCTAAATAAACCCAGTTTATTAATATTATTAATAATATTGTGAGTGTGTGTATACTCACAGGACACTTTTATATGTAGATGGACCTCTATTATAGTGTTTTTACACTTTGCAATATCTCTTCCCAGAAGTAATATTTGAGGCTGCTATTTTGAATATGATATACAAACATGAAATCTAAAGCAACGAGTGAAACATATTTTGGGGTGACCGGTCCCCCTGTTAATTCTATCACATAAAAAAAGCCAAGTAATGAACTGGATCAGATCCAACACACTTGTGGGCAAGTGGTCAAGAATTTAAAGAAAAAATTGTGATTTAAAATTCTTAAAGACAGAACGTGTCAAGTTAGATCGACCCCATTTCCTTTTCACCAATGTAAACATATGGAACGGCTACGAGTACATTAGGTATGAAATGAAACTTACAATTGCAATAACTTAATGACATGGTAAATCAGACAATAAAATGTGCCCTCTGTAGTTCCCATTCAATGGCAGGATTGCAATCCAATCATGATTAAATAAATGCCATAGAATAAAGCATAAATTACATAAAATGACAGAAACGAGGTTCTGGCATTTATGGTCCAAAACACTTATTACTCTCAAAGGTCAGGAGGTAAGTTAAAGAAAAGGTTGAGTTCTGGGAAGAGGTGAAAAATAATTTGTGAGTGTTATCATTGTTATCATGCAAGTCAGGAAGTACATCAGATTAAACATGTTCCCTGAAAAGCATGGCTCTTCAAATGCCTCCATATTCTAAATATGGCACGTAAAAGCATAACAATCAGGACAGAATTTTAGGCCACATATTTGTGTAGTCCCATATACATCTTTCTGTGTACAGTGATAGTAACTTTACCAACCCTGAGCCAAATTTCTTATCATTCTGATGACTCCAGAACCTTGCAGTACACACCAATACTTATATGCTAGATGATCAACCTTTTCTGATCGATTCCACAACGTTTCTTTCACAATGCAATCGCATGACCAGAACTCAACTTTATCTTTAAGTCAGGGTATTGAATAAAACTGTTTTTGGAGAGAAACTTTTAATCCATTACTTTCTCCTTTTTTTCCCACTGAAGTACACACATTTTTCTACCTAAAGGCTAAAGATAACCCCATCAACCTTTTGTTTGGGTTTGTCCCAGTGCATAATGCATGTCCATTGCTCATTAGTATTGTTAATACCTTGTTAATATTCCTTGTTTCACAAAATTAATGAGGGTATACATACATACTGTAATTCTTTCTTGCTCTTACACCCTCTTACATATTCAAATTACTCTCTATATACATATAAATCATTCAAACTATTAAATTGTGGACTGATTAGAATCAGTCAGGTTGCATTGTAAGTCATACAAAGAAGATACGCACAAGAGAAGAAATAGAGAAGAGAGTAAAGAGAAGAGAGTAAATGAAGGAGAAAGAGGGAGGGGGAGAGAGAGATAGAGAGGGAGAGAGAGAGAGAGAGAGAGAGGAAGAGAAATAGAGAGAGAAAGAGATGCCAAAGTTAAACTTTAAATGCGATGTCACCTGATGACCCGTTGATTTCGACCTCTCTGTTGGAAGGTCAAAGGCCAATTTTCAGTTCCGACTACCATAGTCCTTGTCAGCACTTCATAAGCAGCCCTGAAGTGAGGGTTGAAGAACACCGTGATACACGCCGGGAAGAAAAACGCCATGGAGAAATTCTTGACCAGCGACCTCAGCAGGGCTCTAATAATTGAAAGAAACAAACATGGAATGAAAGCTATGACACATTAAACTGTGATGTACTTTAGATAAGTAATGGACATGCTACAAAGAATAGCGACCTCAGCAAGGCTCTAATAATTGAAAGAGACATGGAATGAAAGCTATGACACATTAAAGGTATTACAAATTTTTGGTATGGGGTCATGAATTTGGTTCAAATGAACATATTGGAAGCATATGCGATCCTACAGTATTCAGTGATCGTTGTCGCGGTTGATGAAATTGTAATTAATAAACTCTTTTTGTTGTATAGCTCCCTCTGAAGGTCAAGATATTAATTTAGCTTTAAAACAATGTTTCTTGACTAAAATCAACAGATTAGCTATACCCATTTGGAAATTATATATCACAACTGCATATTCTGAGATTTTCATGGTCGCAGCTACCATTGAATGGCTGTATAGGCACTATTTAAAATCTATCAAAAATTACAGGGAGCACCGGTAAATATTGATATTCAATTTTTCGCGAAAGCAGAAGTGTTTTAGGGGCTAAATTTTCTAGTGCTTATAATACATCCAAATACATCCAAATTTTCAAGAATCGCTATCCGGCCATTTGAAAAATTTCCCAAAACTTTGTATTACCTTTAAACTGTGATGTACTTTAGATACTGTAAGTAATGGACATGCTACAAACTAACAGAGTTACAAGAGCTTAAGATTCCAAACTAAGACATCTTTATTCACTTGGTCCTCTTGAGCTTTGTTCTAAAATGCTGCAGTAAACCATCAAGGAAAGATAAGTGGTATCCGCTTCACATTTCACAATCTTATAACACACAGATAAATGAGTAAACGTAAGACATTTTTCTTGCCCCTACATACTTTTTGTTATCACTGCAGTTGCTATTTTCTTAGAAAACTGCTATACTCTTTTTTTCTCACTGCAATTGTTTTTTTTTCTTCGAAAACTGTCCTAGTGACCTGCATCCTATGTGAATGAGCATATCAAAATCGCAGGAAGTCCACACAGACTATGAAGAAACAGCAAAATCTGTACTCTGTACATAAGACAAGACCTGTGTCATTCCTGTGTCAGCCTTTGATTAAAAGTATAGACCAGTTTTGGAAACGCCCCCCTCTCAAAAAATGAAATGGAAGCTCTTATTACCAAGCATGTGAAAGAATATGTATTGATTAATACGTGATGGTACACATTTTGTCAGGAAACCGGCTAATAATTGATATATTTGGTAAATTATCATATTGATCCGGCCTGGATAGATATCCCGTATGCACTTCAACATTGAACATTTGGGCATATGTTTCTGCTTTTTTGCAAATTTAGGTCGAAGTATTGCCATCTAAACCTCTGAAGGCAATATTTAAACAATATTGAATGGATATTTTGCACCCAAAACCCTTCAACCGCAATTTTACCACTACCGGTCTATATCTTTAAACATAGCCTACATGTACAATTTATCAAGCAATGGTAGTGTAATTTTTCTTTTTAGCCAATCAGACCAAATATCTTTTCAAGTGTAATTTTTGAGCCATTTCTAAACAAGTGTCTTTTCAAACTTTGTCTGAATTTTTCTACCAAATAGTAATGATTCCAGATGAACAGGAAGTTTGGTCCAACGTTTAGAACAGCCATAGCAGCTTTTGAGAAGAAACAAGACTTTGATTTCAAGCAGATGCGTGACTGTGATAGGTCAAAGGGTTTGGACGGCAGAGAAGTTTTGGACAGGTGCTGCTTGACCCAATGGTCATCACTTACTGTGTAAAGCCGACACTGTCGGGTAAGGTAACTTGGACCCGTCCTGGACCAGCTGACTGGACCTGCTCCAGTGAGATTACTCTCAGTCGCATGAGGACCTTGCCTGGCGTAGCACCACCAAGAACCCAATTGATACGGCTGCACAAAAAGAATGTCTGTTGAAGAAGGGGATTACAGAAAAATCATTGGCTTAAAACATTGGTTAACTTCAGGACATACATGTAGTAGAGTTCTGGTTATGCGATTACATTGTGAAAGAAAGATTGATTATAATGTAGCACACAAGATTAATCGTGTATTGTAAAGTTTTGGATTTATTAACATGATAACAAAGAATAAGATATGTCAAAACCATCAGGCAGATTAAGGCACAAGCATTACACAAATCCTTAAAGTGGTAAGTTGAGTAGATTTTTGCAGGCACAACACCAAATTTCCATTTTACATTACTCACACACAGGATGTTACCTGATGTAGTAAACAAACATTTTTGATTGCTAACTTTTATAATCAAGATTGAAACTACAGCCCTCTGGCCTCAGTGATCTCAAGACCTTACCCTCGACCTTCGTCTCTGGGCAAAGAACTGTTTCTAAATGTAGATCCCCTCAGGGCAACATTCTTTACCATTGCCCCTCAAAGTAGACAATATTTGGTGATACAGGATGTACATATAGCATATCATATAAGGGGGAACTCCTTTTCCCAAATGTTTGTCTTTTCAAAGGTTTGTCATTCAAAAGGATCATAATTTAAAAACACAAATTTCATATACCACTGGGAAAATTATTCTGAAATTAAATAGGATACCTAATTCTGGACATTTGTTGCAATACTCTGACCCTTCATCATTCCGAAAAGGTTGTTATTCCAATGGTTTATAATGAAATAGGGTTCACAATTCAGACAATTTCAAAGGGTTCATTTTTCTGAAGGTTTGTAATTTTGACAATGACATAGGGTTATATTTCATTTTTGGAACTATGAACCTTTTTCTTTTTTGAATTTACCAATCTTTGGAATTACAAACCTTTGGAATAACAAAACTTTCAGACTAAGAAACCTTCGGATCAGAGAACCTTTGGAATTATGAACCTTTGGAAAAATAACATGTAACCATCATATCTACCTCATAAACACAGACAATGATTCTGTAGATGAAGGCAAACAAGAGCATTTGTTGAAGTTCTTCCAGCGATGTGTCATCTTCAATTTCTTCCACCAAGAAGCGCATCATGAATCCTGTAGTATCACTGCTGGGAGTCAGCAAAATACAAGATACATGTACATGTACATTAACCACTTCAGTGCAACAATTCACAAGGAGAAGTGAATTCTAAAATTACTTCTTTAGGGTATATTTTAGAATTGGGTAACAATATAACTTACAGCCAGGTCAATTTAACACACTTGATACAAATTAATTGTCACCTATCTTCACCCCAGTGATCTTGAGGCAGTATAAGGCAGCGAAAAACTGTGTGAAAAATCATTTAGCTTGAGAGAGTCCACAGGAAGGGATGAAACCTTGTCTACTAGCCTTCAAGGTTGTTAGAGGTTCAGAACATGTTATGATCACCCCAACTAATGAAAGTATTCTGTATTTGATCAATAGATACAGTTAAACCTCTCTATAAAGACCACTCAAAGGAGACAAGAAAAGGGGTCTTTGTTTACAGGTTTCTGTAATACATGTATCAATGGCAAAGTCTATTCAAGCAACAAAAAAAATGTGGTCTTTCTACACAGGTAATAGACAAAGCAGATTTCGCCGTTTCACTGTACACTTTATTTTGGTAGAACATACATTTTTAAGAGAATCTTACATCATTTGTTTTGTGCTTAGTATACCTACAAGCTATTATTATTATTATTATTATTATTATTATTATTATTATTATTATTATTATTATTATATATAGGGTACCAGCAAGTCTCTCATATTGTTCCATTGGTTTCAAGCCAAAAGAGAAAGAAATCGGATGGTAAAGTTAAACCATGAAATAAATATGTACCGTATGTATATAATAATAAGCTTGATATTTATTTTTTTTCTTGAAATTCAATTATTCAATGTGATGGTCTTACAATTTTCATATTAAAAGCGAGATTTTTAAAACTAATTTTTAAGAATATCAACACATCAAGTATTTAACTATCAAAGACAGTTAAATCCTGCAACTATTTGTACACCCGGCCCTCCATACTGTAATTCAGGCATGCAAGCTGTTTCTAACCTGATGCCAAGGTAGTCGATGATGACCAACATCAAGCCAAGCTTGGCTGAAAACAGGAGAAAGAAGTCAATCAGCTCTGCAATCACACGCCGGTATATTGATGGCACAGAGAAGTCTAAGACTGTAAAGAAATCAAAGAAAGAGTTTGCAGCATTAGACTTCAACAATGGGAAGCCTCCAATGTAACTGAAGCACGGATTGACCCAGTTATAAGCATTACAACAAAGAAACAAATAACAACAGACCTAACTTGAAGGTTTAAAATCATTATAATCATGGGTTGACATTGTAAAATGGTTTCATTCATGAAAGATATGATTACTCGGGATGAGCTTCATATTTCTTATCCTAGCCTTCAGATTTTTAAATTTTGTTTTGAAAGACAAAATATTGAAGGATACTCTGACTCTGAGGAATTAATGTAGGAGATAAAAGGACAACTGACCCGCATAAATATTAAAGCTACAAAATGAAGTTAGTTAGTCACCCATCAGACACAACTAACATTAAAAGCACAGCCATCAATAATAAAATGTCACAAAAGTCTAAATATTTTGTGGAATTCTCGGTACCGCATATAGTTATATCCATTCCCATAATGCATTGCGCCTCCGATACCTCTACAATTTCGTAGACACAGTAACTTCCTGTGATTCTAAAACACATATTAAGCAAATATTAATCGACTACGAGGGGCTACTATCATCCCGAGCCGCAAGGCAAGGGATGATGGTAGCCCCGAGATCACCGAGGCGATGATAGTTTGTATCCATTGTCCGAGTAAAGGAGGTTAATATTTGTTTTATATCCCACATCGGCAATAAGGTCTATTTAAAGTGAATTTTACATAATAATAAGAACTGATTCTGCAGACAGTTTAGCTTCAGCTAGATTTTACAAAGCGCAACATGCATACATGTAATACAGTCGATGCGCGCTCATTTCACAATGACATTGACTTTGACATTTCGCATAACCTACTTTGCTATGCGTATTCAATGGGCAAGGGTGGGCAAGTGGGGTAGCAGCAAAAAATTACTTTACAAAAGTACTATCTAGGTAGATAGTATATCTATATTTTATCATGTGACCTCGTTTAGACCATGCATTAGATTGCAAGATTCTCTGTATGCGGGATATAATCTGCTATAGTCTACTACGATATGCTAATAATTCATTACCTGCAATTCTTAATTTTGCTTGATAGTTTAGTTTCAAACTTTGAAAAATACACAAGCAGTCGGCATAATTATTAATTAAAAGGAATATACCAGCATTGGCAAATGCCAGCGCTTGGAGAAATTCTTTCAGAAAAACTTGGCATCCTGCAACACAAGTAGCTTTCTTTTCCTAAGTATTGTTAAGCCACGATTGTGAGCTAAAGGTCTATAGTAATTTCTAAAAATTACCGTAATCATACAGCAGGGTCACATATTTGAATTCTTGAAGATACAGGTCTACAATTTTAATAAATTTACATCATTAGAAATGTAGGCAAAGGTACATTTTCTCATTCTTAGTCCTATTGACAGTGACTGTGAGTGTGAGCCCAATACTACATGTGATGTATGTGGCCCATTTTGAACGGAAGTTCATGTACTATGTACATGTAGGTCTAGACCTATGCGACTACAAAATCTCGTCAAATTTGCTAGTAAAAATAAAGCGCAACTTGCTAACATTGCCTTGTTTTAAGCTTAAGCGGTAAGGAGAATTGTTTCTCTCAGGGGGCTCAGCTCAAGAAAGTTCACAGAAAAGCACTTCATTTTGAAATTTCTATTTTTTTCTCTTCTCATTCATCGATCAATAATCATCGTCATTGACTCATTCATTGTTTCACTTGCATGGTTTCTTATTTGTGACATCTAGATCTACCTGCAATTTGAGGAATAATATTCCCATTCTGAGCCACATTCTGTTGATTTTGGACACCATGAGCTAGCCGAATATCATTTTGTATCTGTTGATTTTGTGCGGGCATTTGCGCTGCTGGAATCGGTTGCCCGCTCATAACTCCGCCCGAGCTCTGGCTTCTCGTCGTCCCGGTTCCCGTTATCTGCTGCTGCTGTTGTTGGAGATATGAAGCAAATGTCACATATGGCATCATAAACATCATATGTTGTTGCATATACGTATGCGATTTGTACATGAAAATCCAGTTCCTAAGCCTTTCATAGTATTCTGCCATCGAGGTACACTGTTGTGAAGACTCATTTTCTCTCTGATTTCGATTCTCGTCATGTTGAAATGAAGTCGAAGTGGGATTTTCTGATGCAGGCGAACTTCTCTTTCGAACGCTTCCAAACTCGCCTGATTCTGCCATTTTTGTTGAAGAATGCATTCAGAGCCCCAATGGTAGTTCAACAAGAATATCTATACATTTATTCAAGCTGCTGAAATTACGAAAATCGAGGAATATTATAGTGAATTTGTCTCATTATAATCTGGATCACATGCACACAAAAAAACACTACCGAACGCGAATTATCTATAAAATCCCTGCTGATAAATTTTGTCCGGTTCGGATCGATCGGATATCCGATCTATCTGAGCCTACTAGTAATTCAAAAGTGGGCGTGGCAGCAGGGGAACATTTTTTTTAATGAATAGCACATTAGTCAGCCTGATAACTTTTTACAAGTCATGCACAAATTTAAAACCAACACTAAAATCAGGGAAACTCTTCCTTAAACGAAGCTTGATTGTTTTGTCATCACCATTTCCACATCAACTTGTTATTATCACCGGGACTGCATGCATGGAGCCAAGTCTAGGTATTTACAGTTTCTTCCCCTTTCTCACTTTCTCCCTTCTGCTCTTACCACAATTTATATATCTCTCCGGCCTACCATCCTTTCTCTCGATCTTCATCTTGCCTCTCTTTCCATTCCTCAATTGCCCCCTCCGTATTATGTACGGTGGTCCCCCTATCTCTTTCTCTTTCTCTCTCTCTCATCATTGTTCTACCCTTCCTCACTGATCAGCTCTACTTCATGAAAAAAAGATCATAATGAACACGTTTAGAAATCGTGATGAATAAACAGTTTTACTGACACTTTGCACTGGGAACAAAATAATGGCATAATACACTTGAACATAATGGCTACTCCATCATGTTTGGGAAAGCATGGGAGATGCAATAAGAACAGTTTAAAATGAAATATGGTTGTAATACCCTTTACCCAAGTTTTATCACTTTAAACCATGTAGATGCATGACAGCAATTTTTTTGTCGAACAAACTAAATTTCAGGGATGTTCACGAATCCATTTTTCGAAGACTTTAACAAATCTTTTTTTTTCTTTTTTCTCGAAAGTGTAAGAAATCTCACAAAAAAGTAATATTTTTACAATTTATGCTTGGAAACATGTTAATGCGTATAAGTCTTTTCTTTTTGTGTGGATGAGTAATTGATACTTGAACGCCCAAAAAATTAGGGTTCTATTTGTAGTCCTATTATTATGCAAAAAGAGGTCAAATCTGATGAAAAATATACTTGGAAGGGAAAAACACATTTTTTTAGGGGGGGGGGGGGGGGGGGGGAGGTGGCACAAAAAAATTAATAAATAACTTTTGGAAATACATGTATATCACATCAACCAGAAACATTGAATATTAAAGCTATTCTTTATAATACTGCACTGGCAAAATTGGTACTTGATACACTGTATATCAGTCTGGCTTTCATGTTAATACATTTTTTGATCATAATAGCAATATCTCATGCTAACATCGGCAAGGTAAGAATCATATTTAGAGGAAACACTTTAAATATAAAGCACAATTAACGTCTATACCGAGAAGCAAGTAATGAGTTTTAGTAGAATCTTTACAAGTTCATGAGTTCAAAAAATTATGTACTTAGTGCCAAAAAGGTATTTGATAGAGGTAATTAAGAATAAGATACTTTTTTAAATCTTGGGAGTCGTCATTCACAATAATTAAGGAAAGTAAAATTGACTACATAGAGTTTGTTTGATCTTTTTTTTTTTAAAGACATAAATGTCAAATTTCTTGAAATAATAATAATCATGAAATTAGAGCCTTGACCACTGTAAATTTCACCAACACTAGAATTGACCTTTAGATATTGCACAAGTACTATAAGTTTGAATGAAAAGTAAAATACAAGGTGATAAATCCACTCATATAATATATATATGTATATATAACAACCTCATACATAGGTCTTATAGTCAGCCATTAGGTTTGAAAAACAGCAACATACATCTAAAAAACAACATGAAGTAATTTTGCCAATAGTAACATGACCAGAACATGATTGGTAGATGAAAATTAAAGAGGACATCATAACTATTACACAACACAATAATTGGAATTTTCAAATCCAAATGATTTTATCAGGTTATTCCTGCGACAAGAAAGTTCTGTAATATTTCATGGAGTTCCTGTGATTTTATTTTCTGAACGCATATCTGTAAATAACTCTTGGCAGAAGCAACACTAGTTTTTCTGTTGCCAAATCCAAATTGATATTGGCAAACTGTTAATTTGTTCAACCAAAATGTCTGTCAGTAAAGGAACCAAGTTGGAGACCCCTTATTATTTCCCCTTGCTGGAAAATAGTAAGCAAATTTGGTCAGACCCCATCCCATACAACCCTTGCCCCATTTCAATTGGTCTTGTTATATGCCCCTGATTCTAGGAATGTATCATGTAAATAGGAACATGCTATAACAGTAATCCTGAAGAGTATAATTTTAAATTATTACTTGTAATAACAGTCACAACACATGACAATCCAACCACATTAACATTGCTATCCTACCAGGTACCCATTAACACCTGGGTGGAGAGTGGCAAATGAAGATTCATGTCTTGCCAACGGAAAAAGGTGCCGCAGCAGGACTCACATTGCGCACCTTCTGATCCACTGTCCGACTGAAAATGCAATAAACATGCATTTTCAGTCGGACAGTGGATCAGAAGGTGCGCAATGTGAGTGCTTGCACAAACGAATGCCAAAGAAAAATTGAACTTTGTTCCTTTTCAATACTTTTTCTTATCTTTGGACGCAAAAGCAGTCAGGTACTACAATATAGCAAGAATTTTACACATTTAAACAACAAACATGAATCATATAAATCTCTATATATACATGCACTTTTGATAAATGATAACTTAATACTGAACAAATAAATACTACTCCAAACTCTCCTTATATATTACAATAAAAGTTTACCTTTTTCTTTCTTCAGTACTATATTTTTTCATCTTGATATTCAAAAGCACCTTTTTTGATACTACAATATGGCAAGAACTTTATGCAAAAACGACAAACATGTGGTGAAACACTTATATAAATCTCTTTATGTACTTGAGATAATGATGAGATACAGTACAATAAAGAAAAATAGTGCTATAAACAGCACAAATAAATACCCTTCTCCACACTAGAACCTTTTCTGAAGAGGTGGTCCAGATTACTGAAAATGTTTACAGTCTGTATGTGCAAACCCTATGTGAAAAATTCAAACTTTGGGGAGCCCGGACTTAGAATTTGGGCACCATATGTCCCGGGCGCCTGTTAGCGTCGAGCCGAGTGTTAAGTGACAAAGAAAGCTACAACCTTGTTCTTTTTCATTACTATCTTTCATCTTGAAATTTAAAAGCACCTATGATACTACAATGTGGCAAGAACATTAGGCATTAACAACAAATATTTACTGATATATATCTTTTTTGAAAATTCACACGATGCGATAAACAAAACAATGAATTAAATCAATGTAATAGTACACAAATAAATACTGATGCAAATTCATCTTGCTTATATTTTTCAGTACTATCTTTTTACCATTGGGCTTAAAAGCATCCTGGTAATTCAAGTACACTATGACATTAACTTCATGCATATACACATCAAATTACTGTAGTGATATATAATAACTCTCTCTATATAATTGTATATAATCCTTTTTCTAATATTTCATTTCTTTTTCGTTTTGTTTTATCATGCATGCACCATACATTACCATCCGGTGGTAGACATATAAATTGTCATATATACTATTACACCCTGTAAATGCATTATTGGATAAACATACAGAGAAGATAGATGCATATACTGTATCAGCCTTGTCAATTGTGTATGCATGGTTTACGGGGACATTAACGATAGGATAACAGGTAAATAAAAAATTGTTGTACAGATATTGACTTGTAGGGTGTCTAACATAACATTTTTGGATAGCTGAAGAGAGTTATATTTCCCATGGGTTTTTTTTAATGAAGTGCACAGCACTGAGGGAAAATATCACTCCCTAGCTGTCCATTTTTCTTTATATTACACACCCTACCAGTCAATATCTGTTATACTAGATAGCCTTGATTACACTTTGTTGTATACATCAAGGGTAATTGCGATCTCATGCCTTTTTTTTTTCTTTTCTTAAGGCGTCTAGCCTTCCGCATCAAAGACAATGCAAACAATGTGCATGCCCTAGTGAGTTGACATGGTAAGATGCAAAAATATATTCATTTTACAAGCTGCATGGTCAATGTAATATTGTTTTAAAAAAATAAAAAAAGTTATAGAGAGTGAAATATGCTAATAACAATCCTCTCAGTTGATATCACATTAGGATGTACCTGTGGACCTATTACAACTTTGTATCTGTAAGAGCTATCTCATATTATTTGATAAAATAGGCAAATTGAATATTAAGACAATATATTAATAAATTTATGTCCGAAATCAGATTATGTCTATATACACAAACTGTTTTGTGAACAGGTTCGCATACGGACCGGGTAAGATCAGTACTAGATGAAATTTGTCATAGGTGGTACACATGAACTTTGTAGCCACTGTACCTGAATAACCAGATAACTATACAAAGATTCACCACAGGGCGTATAATTGATATGCAGCATTGTGAAAAGCTTTAAAACAATTTCAACAAGGCATGATTAATACATGTATAGCATGTTTTAAACAAATATTTAGATTTCCATCATCACATAATGCAGAGCAACATATCAGGAACCAGAAACTTGAACTGTAATTGTACATTCTTCTAAAATGCTTTTTACCCCACTTATAATAATTGCTCAGAAAAACTTTATCCACAAAAAGTACTTCAAGTAAATGGACATAATTTACTGAATAAACCTGGCAACTGTAAAATACATATGTATATGTAAAAATCTTAAGAGAATACTTTTGTGAACCACAACTGCTTTCCATCCTTTGGTATTTCTAGCTTGAATACTTTTGAAAAATGTGGAATGATCATCAACTGGAGGAAGGGGCAGTTCCAAAAATAGATATATATATTTCATTTTCATTTTCATAGAGAATTTATGAATGACTTTAATACATCAGTTTGCTCACTGCTGAATGAATTTCAACTCTCTGTTGATTAGGGAATCTAATGATCATATAAATACTAAAATTGCAGAAGCAGGTATTGCACGCTTTAGATTGAAAAAAAAATGGCTCCTCTAGCCTTAAAGGAATCGTTTAACAATGTTAAATCTGAGATGCACGGCCCTACGTGCTATCAGTGTCTGTGATATGGTGTTATATTGAAGCCCTAAAAATAAATTGTACTTCAAAATGATCAAGAAGTGCCTCAAAAAAGTAAAAACCTTTGAGTGACTGGTTTTACCATACTCGTTTCCCCCAATAGACTGCAGTGTTATAAAAACCGTTTGGCAAACGCAAAATTGGATTTCGATTTTCAAAATATATCTTGATAATCAGACAGGCGATCGGCTTGTAAAAGTCGGCTTGTAAAAGTCATGGGGTTCCTGACTGACATAAAGGTTTATAGTTATAATTGCAGCATGATCTTTCAAGGATTTTCTTAAAGGATCTAAGACAAAGTTACTGGATCCCTTTAAAACCCAGGATAGATTCATGACTGGTCGAAAGTTAATACAATTTGCAGCTGTTTGGGGGTCTTTCCTCCAACTGTAAGGCCGTTAATTGCAATCAAATTTCATTCTAATTCATAAGAATAAGCAAGGAACCTGAATCAGAAAGATGTTAGATGTTAATAATAATAATAATAATAACAACATTTATAATGCGCACATATCCACCCCAAGAGATGCTCAAGGCGCCTAACAAGGTAAGTACATTGAACAAAAATAATTTAACATAATTAAATATAATTCAACAACGTTAATTACATCGATTGTGAAATACACTACGTCTTAACTAAGGAATTCAGACATAAGATAGGTTTTTAATTAGCAGTATCTACTTGTATATATATATATATATATATACAAGGATGTTAATTGAACTTCATTACATAATGAGACAGCAATCGGATATGGTGGTGGTATATTTATAAGGTTGGATACGCAGAGGTACCATATGGGTACTCCAAGGTGCCATCTGGTGTAAACTGGGTGTCTAGTTTAGTGTAGGTATGAATTTAAAATGGCAACAGGATGGTACATTTTCATTAACACCTTACGCATTCTGAAAATCACTGCTGGCTTGATATGGTGGTGGTAGGGGTGGATAGACAGAGGTACCATAAAGTTACTCCAAGGTGCTATCTGGTGTAAACTTGGTGTCTAGTTTAGTGTAGGTATGAATTTAAAATGGCAATAGATGGTACATTCTGATGAACACCTTACACATTCTGAAACTCCCTGCTGGCTTGATATGGTGGTGGCAGGGTTGGATACACGGAGGTTCCATAAGGGTACACCACGGTACCATCAGGTGCAAGCTCGGTGTCTGGTGCTATGTAAGATGTGAAAGGAGGTGGTGGTGACCTGTCGGTGTTGGCGTCATCCTGCTGCACCAAGGAGTATGGTGGCAGAGCAACCTCTTCCTGTACGGGGATCTCCCCGACTGGATACATAATATCACCAGCTACCATGAGAAAACATGAGAATACAATGTGAAAATACAGTAGATTGTTCTTGAGAGCTGTATTTGATACATTTACATTGAAAATAATGATAATAGCTAATTATACTACTCATACGACCGCCACAAGGCACCTACAAATTACTGCAATTACCTTGGCATTAGCTAAGCTGCATTTATAGGTGCTGTACTCATTCAAGGAACTAATTCCTACTAGGTACCCATATACCTAGTCTGGGTTACGAGTGGCAAATGTAAATCAATACCTTGCAAAAGGACTAAGTACAGTGGCTGGAACTCAAACCATGAGTTATTTGATTCAGTTGAGTGATGTAGCAAAAAGACCATGAGACCTTAAAATATACCTTTTTTCAATTGATGTTCGACTCAACAAATATCATTCAAAACAGCAAGACATAATGAAGGAGGTTGTTTGAAAATGACACTGTCAAACATTCTTTTGCCAACCAGAATCAATCATTGAAACACATTGTCGCTCAAACATTGAGTGACTCTGAAATGTCTATTTAAAAAAAAAAATTATCAATCTACAAACCTTGTGGTATCTAAGGGGTTAGATGTTCTAAGAGACTACCTTACAGATTAGAAACAACAATGGGATCCAAATACCTGTGGGAAATGGGGGTTGATGATGCATCCCTACTACCGGTGGAGTTGAAGGAGTGGTGTCCAGGCTGGTAGGCAAGGGGGGCTGAGTGGTGGGCTGGGTGGGGGGCTGGGCAGGGGCATGGAAAGGCAGGCTCTGTTCCTCTGGGTAGGTCAGGATGCTGCCGGGTAGGGTCACTGGGTACACTGATGTGTGGTCATACACATGCACTGCATATATAAAGAGAGTTGGCGAGAGAGAGAGAGACGGGATAGAAAGAGGGGGAAAGAGAAAGTGGAAAAGAGAGGGGAGGAGAGAGAGGGAGGGAGAAAGACAGAGAGAGAGAGAGAGAGAGAGAGAGAGAGAGAGAGAGAGAGGAATGGGGAGAGAAAGAAGAAGAGATAAGGGAGAAGGTCAAAACAAATACAGCAATATAAAGAGAATTTCATTTTTAAAGCTAGATTCCAGAATTATTGATGATTTATAAGAAAAATCATTGTCATGTTCGGAATCTCTGTCAAAAATTATTCTACATGTCTTTTTTTTTCATTTTTTAGTCCGTTTTGATTAGATCGAGTGGCCCTTTAATGTACTCTGCAATCCCATTCATTCTCGTTTCAATCTAGTAGCCTTGAACTTACATGGCAAGTGGGCGTGGCTCTGCTGTTGTTGTTCATTGGTCATCAGACTGGTGTTCTGACCAGACGTGTAAATGGTCACCCGGCCACCGGACGATGGGAAAAAATGTTGAACCTATAATGAATTGTAAAAGAAGAGCATGAGTTTATTTGAAATCATTTATTTGTTATTCTATCAAAGGCTGTGCAGATTACATGAGCATTATTTATGAATATCACAGACTTGCTCATTGATTAACTCTTAAGCTGCCACCACTGATGCAATGCACCCAGTGCCACAGTGCTAATCCCTATTGTGCCAGCCACTAATCCCCCCGTGCCAGATTCATTTTAGGGTTGGTTTAAGTGTATGTAGTTTAAATTGTTACTATGTTTGATCCACTATAACTTCTCATCCGTATGTTGTATACAAAAAAGTTGCACATTAAAGATGTAGGGAATTTAACCCTCTTTCTGTTGATACCAATATCATTTAATGAATCTGTAATTTTGGTAAAGTAAATAAGCACTTTCAGTGAGTTGTCAAACCAATCCGTCGTCTCATTTCCCGCACACAATCTGAGGAGCCATGATCAAAACTGACAAATTTGATGATGAAATATCGCAGTTTTCTCAGGAAAATCCAATGTAAAGGTATAAGTGAAGCATGCAAAATTGAAACAACAATAAACCCTCTACACAACTACATAAAGCTTTCATGCATGCACGCAATGCGCATCGCACAATAGGCATAAACAATTAGCGTGTGTACTTATGCACAAAAATGTGTATGTGGCACATGAGCGAATGAGCGTTTATGTGTACATGGCAGGCGACCAGTGTCCTTGGCACCATATGAGTTAAAGCTCAAATGCTCAGTACAGGTGATGAACGATTGGAAATGAAAGTTGAACTCGGTTATGAATTATTGGCTCATCCATATAGCTTAACTTTTCATTTAACTCTTAAGCTGCCCCTATGCAATTCACCCAGTGCCACAGTGCTAATCCCTATTGTGCCCGCTACTAATCTCCTGTGTGCCAAGTTAATTTAGGGTTGGTTCAAGTGCGTGTAGTTTAAATTGTTACTATGTTTGATCCACTATAACATCTCACCTGTATATTGTATAAAAAAGAATTGTATGCTAAAGTTGTAAGAAATTTAACCCTCTTTCTGTTGATACCAATATCATTTCATGAATCTGTAATTTTGGTAAAGTAAATAAGCACTATCAGTGAGTTATCAAACCAATCCGTTGTCTCATTTCCCGCACACAATCTGAGGGGCCATGATCAAAACTGACAAATTTGATGACAAAATATCGCAATTTTCTCAGGAAAATCCAATGTAACGGTATATGTGAAGCACGCAAAATCAAAACAACAATAAACCCCCTCCACAAATACAGTAAGCATTCATGCGTGCACGCAATGCGCATCGCACAATAGGCATAAACAATTAGCTTGTGTACTTATGCACGAAAATGTGTCCGTGGCACGCGAGCGGGTGAGAGTTTATGTGTGCATGGCAAGTCAACAGAAACCCGATTATGTGTGCGTGGCACGCCAGCGCATGCACAGAACAGTGTTCTTGGCACGATAAGAGTTAAAGGCCGTCTGTACTAGTTTGGCTAGGAGGGATTGGACCACCCAGGAAGGTCACTGACAGGTGGCTATCTCACCAACTCGGCTCTCAATTAACATAAGAAAAAGAGGATCATAGGGGACCAATTAATGGTCACCGATTAGGCATTGTTTTCTATATAGAGGGAGCCATAGCTACAAGTAGTACAGTGGGCCTTTTAGAGAGAAAATAACATATTGAAATCATTATCTTTTTGGTCTAACCCCTATCTACAACTTTCCCTTAAACAATCCTGTTACACATTCATCTTGCACAAAGGGAGAATACTAAATATCATTATCCTACCATGGGTATTGAATGGGTAGGGAATTCTATTGTAGAATACATGTTCAGAACAACCAATTGGATTGTACTTTATTGCATACATATCTAAGCTAGCTACTATAAGAAGAGTTTCATTCCAAAAGGAGCTAAATCCATGTTTGTAACTTGCGAGAAAAAAAGACATTTTTTAACAGATTTTGTACACACGTCTATGGAAAAGTGAAGTTCCATTTTTTCATAATTGCTCTCAAAATTTAGGTACAAAATTTTGTTGAAAGACTGGTACTTAAGTGAACAATGTTCTGATATCAATAACTCAATATTCATCAAAAGTGGATTTAGCTCCTTTTGGAGTTAAGCTCTTCATATGTAAGAATGAATATGGGGACAGCTCTATCTAAGATCTCTTATTGCTAGCTCATCATCACTATTTATCCATCCAATTAACTCACCACAGTTTGTGTGGATACAGATGCCTGGGTACGACGGCACGACACAGAGATGGAAATGATGGAGATGACGAATTCCATCAAACCAACAATGGCAACCAGAACATCTACAGAGATCCGACCAGCCTGCATCATGTAGGAATGGTTTAAAACAAATAACATCAAAAGCTAGTTCTTATCATAATTATGAAGTTATTTGCAAGTCATCTGGTGCATTCAAATGAATTCTGTAGATAATGTCTTTAATGAGCCAATAGGAACTAAGAAAGGTGAGGAAATTTGGTTTATATTCCTTGATACATGTCAACCACTACTGGCACTTCTGGTACTCATGTGAAAGGGTGTGTTGTCCTCTTCAATGAATGTGATATTTTTCAAAGTGTTTGGTACCGGTACTTCAATTAAATTTTACTGGTCCAAATAACTAATCAATTATAAGATATTCAATCAAAAATTTCCTTCAAGCCATTTTACTCAGAAAATGCTTTTCCATCACCACAATCTCGATATTAGCTGTAAAGTATGCTCAGCATTATACAGGGGTGATAGTGAGCACTAAAACAATTTGTTTCCCCTCCCCCCCCCCCCCTCCCCCCCCCCTTGTGTAAAAAAAAAAAGGATTCAGGGGGGGGGGTGGCATCTATTCCCCCTTTCGAGTAAGAAAACATTTCTGAAAAAATAGCGGGAAATTGGGAAAAAAAATAAAAAAAAATATGGTAATATCAGGCCTGATTATAGAACTGCATTCTCATGCAATAGTATGTGTTGCACCTGAATGACTGTAGCTAGCTCACCTGACCATTGCATACGGTAGTACAGTAGGCAGCACTGCAGGTATGTCTGCAGAATGCATACTCTGTGCTAGCAGCCACCAGCATGGCAATCAGCATCACAAAAGCCACTATGGCCGACATCACAGACATCACCATGAAAGACACAACCTAATTGCAGAAAAACAGGGGGGTGTTTCACAAAACTTGTCATCAGTAACAAATGACAATAAGCTACTGAAATCCTTGCTTCTGATTGGTTATCAGCAGATTTGTCAATGGAAAATGGCTTGTGAAACGGGTCCCAGTGCAGCAAACCACCTGTTTTAAAGTTTCTTATCTTTTCCATAATCATCAATCATAAGAAAATACCTTTAACTAATTGCAATACATTGGTAATTGCATCATTATAACATATCTAAAGAATTAAAATGTATGTACAGTACATGTAATCTATGGCAAAGTCCTCATTAGGTTTTAAAACAATAACAAAGTGAAGACAACATTAGCTTACAACACATACATCAGAAGGTATGATAATTCAATATAGTATCACAGACATAATTGCACTTCCTTGATTTCATAAATCAACGAGTTCTGAAGAAAATTACTGACAAAACAAATATAGGTCACAAACAAATGAAAGTCCAATTCTGTTTGTTTCCTCTGAGCATGCATGCCCAACTTTGAATGTATGAATACAAGCTAGGTTGAATGCTTCTAGAAATTATGATTTGAATATTTCAGAAAACATTTAAAAATCACTTACAGTGCATGTGTCATTTGGGCCAGCAGCTATGCCAAAAATACCAGCAACCAGGAAAAACTGTGGAGACAGAAAATTGAGAAGGAGAAAAAAAGAGTGTGTCATCATACATTATAGCACTGATTCAAATTTCAAATTTCACATAATTAATGGCATGACAAATTATTTGAATACTTGGAAGGATTTGGATTTCATGGTAACACATTTCATTTGTTTACACACACAGTTCAAGAGGGCGTTAGCTAGTAAAAGCTCAGCTACAGTGTAGATTAGGCCGGCTTCATCAGCTTGAGATTACCAAATATCCCGCTATTTGAACTATCCCGATCGATTATCCAGTTAATTTGCGTCTTCATCAGCTCAAATTTGCAATTAGTGGTATATTTGGTCGTGATAATCATCCCAAGATATCTTGGGCTAGTTTGCAAAATATCTCGCTATTTGTCCAGTGTGTCTTCACCAGCCTGAAGACTAGCACTATGCGCGAACGCTGAGCAAAATATCTTGAACTCAAGTTTCAAGTTTTGAGGTCAAGTCTCGAGCTGATGAAGACTCGATTTGTAATGTCGGGATTAATCAGAAATAGCGGGCTATTTGGCAATCTCGAGCTGATGAAGACAGGCCTACTGTTTTGTTGTACAGTACTTACAGCTAATCCAGACCAGAGGGGGGAACCTAACCAGGCCACTTGACATCTCAGGATAAGCGTCACAATACCGAGCAGGATGCACAGGGCCGCACACGCAATGTGGGACCATCCCAGCTTCCTTGCGAAGGCTGCGTTGTAGAGCGTTGAAGGCGCAGAGCCGCTGCCCGCCCTAACAGTTTGAACAGAGAGAGGCTGTGCGGCTGATGGACCGAGAAAGTTGATGGAGTGGGAATGGCAGAGGTTTTCACCCGCTTCAATGGACATGCTGAGGCGAGTGGTTCGCGATGACCGGTTCAAGAGGAAGTCCATTTTTGTGTTCTCCTTAGTTCCTACAGGAAGAAATAAAGAGAGCACGGTTATATTTTGAATTCCCACTTGATTTGATATTAGATAAACCAAAAATATATTTGTGTAAATTCGATCACAGCAAAAATGGAGCTAGTGTATTTTCATGCCAAGAAAAAGAATTGACCCTCTGCATGCCTACAGCAATCGGGTATTCCTGTATTATGTCTATGGGAATTAGAGAATTTGGTAGTCATCAGGTTAAGGAAATGTCTACAATTTTGGGGAAACCTCATCATATTCTCACTGCTCAGTCGATCACCTCAGAAGTTTGCCACATTGTCCACATCACACACTGAAGGCGTATTTATAGGGTGTAAAACATATGGACCTGCGTAGCCTTTGGGCCATTCCATTGGGGTCCGCTCATAAGGACCCCTATCTTTAAGTTTAAGGACTGCTATTCATAAGGACCGCTATTCATAAGGACCGCTATTCATAACGACTTTTAACTCACGATCTTTATTTGAACATTAAATGAATAGGCCTATTTACTTATTTTCGGTAGATCTAGTAGGGTACCTCCACGCCGGAGTTACGGGTCAAATTTGGGATAGGTTTCTGAACAAGTGCCCTTCTTTTTTCCAGCGAAGACATCTCAATGATGCGAGATCTATTCAAATTAGACTAGATCTATACATAGGGTGTCTGAACGATTTTTCAATTTTCAATTTGGGATCGTTTTTCACCATTTTTGTTTGATATTTGAATAAAAAATGATATCAGAATAATACATTTCAAATTTCAAGTCTCACCGATGTTTCTATCAAAAGTAACAGCCCCTCCAAAACGCTGGTATATTCATATCATTTTGGTCAAAATCGACGAAAAAGACGTCCACGCAGAGTGATGTTGTTTTGCTAAATTTAGCCAAACAGCTGTATCGCGCGATATGCAAGCGTATGCATATCGTACGCATGCTGCTAAGCCAATCCGCGACTTGCAGCTTGAGCTACGCTGTCTCCGCGACATGTGCCATTGACTAGTATGGTTGGCGTTCGTCGCACAAAAAACCCGGAAGTGAATGCACGTTATAGTCAATGGCAATATCGCGGAGATGTCTCCGCGATATTGCCATTGACTATAACGTGTATTCACTTCCGGGTTCTATGGCGGGAACGGCCACCCATACTTTCATTCACTATAAGCGCACATGTTACGCGATGTAACCATGGTTTGGACTGAGCGGAGCTCACGCCTCCCTAATTAGCTGATTCCAAAAATGTGGGAAGGGTATTTTCAAACTGTTATAACAAATGATCCCTTGGGGCTAGCGAAAAAAAAAGCATCTGGATATTATCCTTACGTCTAGCCCTGCTTAAGCCGCGGGGCGGCAGCTCAGGAAAGTGGCAAATTTTGGAGCTAGGATGCAAACAACATTTCAATCGCTGTTTTGACCAAGATATTTTTAGAATTCTGGGGGTGGCCCCCGATGGGGAATATGGAGAAAAACCTGCTCTTTCATATGACACCTCATTTATTGAGTTTCACCTTCAGGATCATTTGTTATAAAGGTTTGAATTTCAAATTTTTTCATAAAATCATTGACCAATTTTGGATGGTCGCGCAATGCACGTAGACCACATAGGGAAGCGTACAATCTCTATGGGAAGGGTTTTAGCACACAACATTGGGTGCGCGATCAGACACCCTACAGTAGGGTAGCGCGCCCAGTATTCGGTCGATTCCCAGTATTCGGTCAGACAGCCGTTTCAACAGCTGTAACAATTTAAAAATAATTTATGAGCCACGAAACTTGCACAAATCAGGCAGCTGAACAACTTTTCTTTACTCTCAAAATTAAATCAGATTTAGGGCCCCGGAAAGATCTCCAACTTAGCTCGAAATTGGTCAGTGTCGCACAACTTTCCGCACTTTCGCGTTCTCTTAGCACATGCGCTAACATGCATAGCCATATGTAGAAGTCTATTGCGAAACAACTACGTGTGCTATCACAATGAATTTAGTATGTGTGTAAAGAGAATCACTTCCGTGTTCACTCCATCGCAGCGAATTTGCAAATGACGCACTTGCCGATGTGCAAGAGGTATTTATACGATACCCTTGCCATGCGGTATCGCTCAGCCAGTATTCGGTCAACGCATGACATTCAGTGCTTTATCGCGCAATTGTGTGAAAATAGTGCGCAAATACGCTACGCTCCTTTGCAACGGAGATACCACGCACAAATCGCGTGACCGAATTCTAGTTGGCGCGACCGAATTCTGGGCAGAAAAATGCTCCGTCTTCTTTCGGAAGTCTTTTGCTTATCGTTATTCTATATTTTCAGTGACTATAAAATCCTGTTAGAGGAATAAATTTCTTTTCTTTTGATGGGTAGATTGCCCAATGAAAGAGGTAAGAATTCAAAATATTAGTGGTTTCCCCTTAAGTGACCGAATACTGGGTACTCTACCATGGGTGTCGATCCGTAACTGATACCTATTCATCAGGGGGGGATGATCTATTCATTCATCCCCCCCTGATGAATAGGTATTACGTAAGTATCGACACCCATGTACCGTATTTGCCGGCGTAAAGGCCGCACCGCCGTATAGGCCGCACCTCCGATTTTGACATTTAAAAAAAAAAAAAAAAAAAAAAAAAAAAGTTTTTTTTTTTTTTTTTTTTTTTGGTTGTTGTTGTTTTGTTGCCGAAAACCCACGCGGGGAAGGACCTTCATTTAACATCGAGGTGCAGTTAAAGGCGCTGATTTGTGCTTGTAAACTTGTCACAAAATAATAGTAACAATGTCGTTTTTAGAAGAATGTGTAAGATCATTAATGTGAATTAAAAACAAAAGAGTACTAGGTCCTAGGATAGTACCTTGTGGTACACCATTTCTTATATAAAAAAAATTGAGGAATTATTATTATAAACTACATATTGAGATCTATTAGAAAGATTACTTTCAAACCAAGATGACAGACAAATTTTAGTGTTGTTGTAGTTTCCGAGTGGTGAGTCAACACTGATTACTGAGCTGGGAGACATTGCCAGGCATAGCGCCATAAATCAAAACTAAAAAAAAAAAAAACTAAAAAAAAAAAAAAAAAAAAAAAAAAAAAAATTACTCTTTCGCCGCATAGGCCGCACCCCGACTTTTTGATATTTTTTCTTCCAAAAATACTGCGGCCTATACGCCGGCAAATACGGTACTCTACCCTATACAAATTTATGTTTATATTATTGTCATTAGACTATCATGAAATAGGAAACATCCATTTGCTCCATTTCATTTTAGAATTTGGCTGTCTATCAAAACTATCTTGACATTTAACACCGTCTGATCTGGTTGCCATCCCCATTGCAGGCCTTAAATTAATCGACGGCCATCGACGGCCAGGCCGTCGATGCCCCTATGACTGGCCGCGGTGCCCTCCCAAAAAAAGATATATTCACGGCCAAAAAGGCCGTGCCCTTTTTTTCAAACTGGCCGACGTGCCTTTTTTTCCAACTGGACGTGCCCTTTTTATTTTAAATTTGCGCACATAAAACCACCAATTGCGCCCATAATCATCTAAAACTAGACGGCAAGGCGCAAGTGTTTTCCGTGAAAATGCGCCCATAAATTATTAGAACAGTAAAAATACACGAATCACGAACAGTTTGCCGCCCACGAGCTCTCTTCTAGCTTCGTATTTAGTGCTTTAATAAGGCGCAAGTGCCGTGAAAATGCGCCCTTTGTTATTATATAGGCAATGCGCTAGCGCACGTACGTACGTACGTTCATATTATGCGATGAGTTCGTTGGATCGCATGCATGATATGCATATGGTGCATGCTGTTGACGCACGCACGTACGTACAAATCGAAGGCCAGGATCAAGAAAACAAATCGTCAAATGGAGAAATAAACAAGCATTCAAATAGTCATTAGAGATCTGTCGAGGTTTGTTTGTAGGCCTAGTTTATTATTTTATCTCAAATAGAATTTAGAATTATCTTACTAATAAGTTAAGAACACCTACGATGTTCTCGATCGTAGTTACTCTCATTTTGCCACCAGCCGACCTCGCTTCAAAAAGCTACCCCGCCAGCTTCCCAAGACGAACGTTTCGAGTCCCGGTAAAATTCCGAGGGTGCATCGGTTTCGCTGGCAAACTTCCAGCCCGACAGCTTCCCACCAAAAGTGGCGAGAGTGTGTGTGCGAGGAACGATTTTGGTTTCGTGAATGCACGTTACGCAACTGAGCTGAGCGTGTCACTTTCAGCTGTCGAATGTCTATAAGGACATTTTTACATCTTATTTCATTAGTTAGGCCTATGTAGACCTTTCTATACAACAGTTAAAAAGATAATTTCTTCAAATTTGCTCCTACTACCGAGAGAGTGGCGGAAGGTTTGTGTGTGAGGTGCGATTTTGATTTGGAATACCCGGCCCGGTAAACTTGCCAATTAAGTCCTTCTGACTTTCGATGTTTGTGAAATTGACAATTTATTTATTCATTTGCTCATCAATATTTTTAATTACTTTAAAATACTGTTTACTGTGCAAGTTTGATGTTCTTAATCAATCTTTCCTGTTCATATTGTTAAGATTAAAAAGTTATTAAATTGATCGTTCGATCTATTCACATTATGAAATTAACATTTGCAGACTCTCTTTGAACTTATGGGGTCTACAAAATTTCAACCGATCCTGGAAATTTTAGGGGGGGCATGTGCCCCCCGTGCCCCCCCCCCCCCCCCCCCCCCCCGTTGCTACGCGCCTGCTTGTTTGTATGTACCGTAGACCTCTATACATTCTGTGAAGAAGCTGGTGCTAAAAGTCATGGGAAATTGATCCTGCACAAGTTTCATAAAATACACATGACATCTAACAAAAATAGAATCAATTTTTTTGGCCTCATACTCGATGCCCTTTTTGTAAAATATTTTGGCCTTGATGCCCTTTTTGTAAAAATATTTTGGCCTTGGTGCCCTTAAAATATGAGGTACTCGAGGCCAAACTGGCCTTGCCCTAAAAATGACGAAATTTAAGGCCTGCCATTGATTCTCCCCCGATTCGACTCAGCTCAGGTCTAGGCCTATAGCCTGCCTGGCTAGCTTGCTGACTTCATAAGATATCGAAGTAGCGCATACGTTATACACATTCAACACGATTCATACACCACAACAAATGATTCCTTCATTCATTTCTAATCTGTCGATCGATCCCTGCACTTGCATCTAGAAAAAAACAATCAAACAACCAAATAATATTTGCATAGGCCTACCACTACATGACTTGCTCTTCTTCTAATGCCCGATAAGGTGCTCAAATACACAATCTACCATCTGCTTTTCGTGCGTGATCGTCCTCTAACATAACCTCTCATCAATTCATTAAAAAATGACATGCATGCGATGTAGAACTACTTAACTTCGCATAATATTATAAAGACCTTATGATAGCAAGATGATCTACTATCCCAGCTTAGCACCCTTGTATTGGGGCAGTACTACAGTACTTTGTTTTAAGTTATATATCTTTCTTTACATGGCCTTTCAGAGAATAGAAACGAAATAAACAATGGCTATTTTTAGACGATTGTTGGCGCTATATATTTCATAATAAGGCGTTTTGACTCGGTGAGTAAAGAAGACTCCTAAGTCCTAACGTTAGATCTAGTTAATGTTTACTTTAATTGATTTTAATTAATGATATCTGATATATTGAAACGTTTTGAATAGTTTGATAATGGGCAATGTTAAGAGAAGAAAGTGACGCCTTTCATTTCATTCGTTACATTTATGTAGACAGGTGGGGGATTCAGCTTCAAACTAACTTACCAGTGCAGTGCAGCGGTGAGCGGGCCGGGTCAATTGTAACGGGGAACTTCAGGCGACAGTTACGTCAGAATTTGCCAAGTCTAGTCATGGCGGCTACATCTCCATCCGAGGAAATTGACGATGTGAAGTTATCTCATGAAGGCATCAACCTCTTGCTCAACAATGGCTTCAAAGAAGCAATGGAAATCTTCACAAAATACAGGTAAATGATTTCTAGTTTTCCATCATAATTTTGTATGAACTGATCATCAATCATTCAATGACAATGAATGCGGTAGAAACTAGAAGTTCGGGGACATTTTTAGAAGACTAGACTATTACAAAATGTGATATTTGATCTAGACTATGATTTCTCATATTCTACACAAATTTATTTTATTTCAATTATTACCAAATGGACGGCAAAGTTTTTTACTACAGATTGGTTCAACTAGAAAATTTATTGTTGAACAATCTAAAAATTTGATGTCCGAATGTGCTTGCGCTCTGCATCTAAGTAAAAAAGTCATTAAAAGAATGAGACCTAACTTCATGCATAGGGGTTTACAGTTAATTTATCAAAAAATGTGATCCATCAAAAATAAGGTTGATTTAGATATCATAATTTGCAAGGCAAGATATCATGCAATCAGTTGGTACCACTTTTTACTTACAATTTTGAGGAAATCTGCTCTCAAATTGAAGATTTTCAGACCCTTATCAGTAAGTTGATAATTTTTCGGAATGGACGCAAAAGATTGCAAAATTTGCAGATCTTTTGTCAATATTTTCACAATTTCTTACCCAATTCCAAAGAAAATTTCATCTCTGGGTAATTTTATGTTCCTCTTTCCATTGGTGATATCAGATTTTCGAAATCTTACTGAGTGAGGTCACACTAACATACTACAGATCAAGAATTGTTGGTTGCTTAATTTACCTACCACTTCAAGTTGTAAGTTTGTAACATTTCTTTTTATACATCTACATCTAAGGTGGTACTGGACAGGACCAATTGGTATATACGTCCAGATTTCCGTGGCATCGCAAACTGTCAACAAACATCACAACTGATGCAAAGTTCAAAAAACAAAATAATAAGGTGCTCATAAAATGAGTGGGTTGTAGGCATCATCTAATTTACAGATGAAGTAGAGCCACATTGACGCTCTATCCCGCCTGTGTACAGCTGGGCTGAGTGGTCATTCTGCATGTAGCTCCAAACTTTGGTATTGAAGGACTTGGCCGATGTTGACTCTTTGATGATGGTGGCTGGTAGTCGATTCCATTGCTGAATGGTACGAGGATAGAAGCTGTTCTTGTATGCTTCGGTCCTGGCAGAGTAGTTGATGTACTGGCTTGGTCTCTGACTACGGGTGACTGGTCTGTTGGGGTTGTTGGCGACTGGGATAAACTTCTCTGGGATGGTAATAATTGGATTGGATTGGATTGTTCAGATTTATATGGACCAGCAAAATATGACATTAGTATCCTTAAAGGCTTAGCCCACTCCAAAAATAATTTGATTTTAATAGATGCAGAAAAACAAGAGAGAGCAGAAAAATTGAGTAAAATCAGAAAACTAATAAGGAAGTTAGGAATTTTGTTTAAAGTATGAAAACTATGGTACTTAAAAAAACATTACACACATTGCAAATTTGGTTATCAGTTTGTGATGCCATTGCCTCACTTTTTATTAATTGCTTTGTATATTTTTTATCCCATTAATTTTTCCTTTTTATCCCCCCAAAATTAGATTTCCCCGTGCCTTTGCCCAGGTTATATGATTTGTATCATATTGCGTGCATGACATTTCACAATTTTTTGTATGAACTTTGAAGAATTTATACTATTTTCTGAATATTGTATATTCATAATTATTGATTTTTATATAAGTAGTTTATCAAAATTCACATTTTTCATGTATATTAGGGCATCCACACAAAAACACATCACTATCATTATGACTTGGATGCTAGTGTGAGGAGTTAAGATTTTTAGGGGGAAAAATAGAAATTTGTATTATCAATATCAAGAAAACAATTAGTGGATAGTGAGGAATTGACATCAAAGACAGTCAGACTCATAAGTGAGTTGCCAATATGTCTTGTGATTTTTTTTTCAAGTCATTGAAAATTCATAGCTTCTTTATTTAGTTATCCAATTTTATAAAAGATTTTGTGAAATATCATGCACGCAGCATGATACAAGTCATACAACCTGGGCAAAGGCATAGGAAAATCAAGTTTTTGGGGGATAAAAAGGGAAATTAAAGGGATAAAAATAAATGAAGCAATTGATAAATGAGGCACTGACAAAAATGATAAATGAGGAACTATAACCAAATTGGCAATTTGTGTAGTGATTTGCAGTGTTGCATACTTTTTCAAAAATTCCTTATTACTTATCCGATTTTAATCAATTTTTTTTGCTCTGTTTCTCTTGTTTTTCTGCATAAAAGCAAACTATTTTTTGGGGTGGACTTCTGGACCTAGACTTTAAACTACGGTAGTTGAAAGTGATTATGGATTGTTTTCTCACGCAGTAGGTGGGTCATTAATGAACGTACATGTATCATTTACAATAATTTGGTTCTTCTTGTAGACGTTACAGCCCTTTGATGAGTGCAGGGTCCAGCTTTGTCAGTTTTATGGTGAGTCAAACTTACGTTACAACTTACGTTTCATGTACACATTTACATTTCATGTACTACCGGTACAACGTTTGTCACCATCTTCACCTTATCTTCTCAGAATTGTTGTGTTTGCTCTGCTATTTACTCAGGTTCAAAGTTCAGGAAATGCTCTGTCCATGTTTTTCAATATGTCTAGCATCTGTACTAGTCTACATGTATGAACATGTACATGCATGTAATCCAAAGTCTGGTGGGAGTAATAGCATTTGACGTGAAAAGAATTCAGAATTTCTTTGAAACTTTATTATATATTTTGGTTTACCTTGGTGATCAGACTTTTTAAAGATACCTTCATGAGGGTGTTTTTTGTTGTTATTGTTTTGTGTTAATTTTGGGAGGTCCGTAACGCCACTTATGGTTATAACAGAATTCTTTCAAATCAAAACAAGTCAAGATCTTGTCTTTCACTGAAGCAAAAGTTCTCTTTTTTTTAACATTTTAGAAAACATCCTATTCTGTTTTGTTGTCATTTATTTGAAATCTGCATACATGTTTGTAAGTGACCCCAAAAATTTAAGAAAAAAAAATATAAAGGAGATAAGAAAATTATAAACTTTGTAAAGACAGGTGTACATGTAATTACGATATAGTACATGTAGGTAATAACAAAATGATATAGTTTTTTGTTTGTGAAATTTGAGTTTGAAATTTGTAATCAACTTTGGAAAAGATCATAATGGTTTATGAAGATTAACTCTTGCTGTGCCAAGGGTTTTCACTAGTTTTAAGATTTACCAAAGTATAAACAATGCTTATTTTTCAAATGCTCAGTACATCACTGGAAAGATGATAAAACCTTGTAACTTAATTTGTGGTGATTATTTTTCTCTCAACAGTTTGTACCTAAGGAACAATTTGATGTTCTGATAAACTGATGAAATATATACATTCACAGAAATAGTAAAAGCTATCTGTGCAATGAAGATCATCAGTCTTTTTAATTGAAAGTTTTACCTGCTCTCTGGAAAATCTAGCATTTGTAGTTATGCAATTCACAAAGGGCAAAAACACTAACTTTTGTTGCCTTTCCAGAATGCGCTGATGACGTATGAAGAAGACAAGCTGGACGCGGCCATGGAAGACATCAAGGAGACAGACAAACTCTGTAATTCCTACCAAGATGGCTTCATGAAGTCCCTCAAGCACAAGCTCCTGAAGAAGGACTCGTCGGAGTCTAAGCTCAGCGTCGAGGAACGACTCCAGAGGAGGATCCTCTCAGCAGACTGTCAGCTCTACTTGGCCATGCTCATCTTCTCTAGGAATGAAGTTACAGGCTTCATCAAGGTAAAGTCAAGTGCTCATATTATTCATAAAGACAGACTTTCTTTTTTTTTCTTCACGATTTTTTCCCCATATAACTGATTTTCCCCTTATTTTCTCTATTCTTCCCTATTTTCCCCTATTTTCCCCTATTTTCCCCTATTTTCCCCTATTTTCCCCTATTTTCCCCCTATTTCCTCCCAATTTATTACTCACAGGGGGGGGGGATGGTTTTAGATGCCATTTCCCCCCCCCCCCCCCCAATAAAAAAATCCTCTTTCTTTCTTTTTTAGTGCTCACTGTCACCCCTGGACTTAGTAAAAGCCCGTCTGCACTAGTTTGGCCAGGGGGATTAAACCTCCCTGCAAGGTCACTGACAGGTGGTTATCTCATCAAATCAGCTCTCAATTAACATAAGAAAAAGAGGATCATGGGGGATCAACAGATTAGGCATTGTTTGCTATATATAGAGGGCGCAAGTAGCTATAAGTAGTGCAGTGTACTAATCACCAAAAATATGTGCTTTCGCTATACAATATCTCAACTACATGTATGAGCTCCACATATTACTTTTATGAAGAGATATTGCAAGTTTAAGTTACTTGTGGGTGGAATACGCGACGCACCCATACACATTTGCATAGAAAAGGGCCATCATGGAAGCCCAAGTCCGAGTTTGGTTCCGTGTGCACTGTTTTATGTTATTCTTTATTTTCTTTAAACTCATTCTCTGGTATGGTAGCTGATCAGGTAGGATGCTAAACATAGTTTTTTAGGTCGATGTTATGCATTCGTGCTACACACAAAATATTATTTTTAGGTGATTGATACACTTTGAACCTTGGGCTGTCTTGACAGAGTTGTGATTGAGCAGAATCTATGGAAATTAGTCCTACAGTCAATTGCAAAGTGACAATCTCAGGCCTTAAATTAATCGACGGCCATCGACGGCCAGGCCGTCGATGCCCCTATGACTGGCCGCGGTGCCCTCCCAAAAAAAGATATATTCACGGCCAAAAAGGCCGTGCCCTTTTTTTCAAACTGGCCGACGTGCCTTTTATTCCAACTGGACGTGCCCTTTTTATTTTAAATTTGCGCACATAAAACCACCAATTGCGCCCATAATCATCTAAAACTAGACGGCAAGGCGCAAGTGTTTTCCGTGAAAATGCGCCCATAAATTATTAGAACAGTAAAAATACACGAATCACGAACAGTTTGCCGCCCACGAGCTCTCTTCTAGCTTCGTATTTAGTGCTTTAAATAAGGCGCAAGTGCCGTGAAAATGCGCCCTTTGTTATTATATAGGCAATGCGCTAGCGCACGTACGTAACGTACGTTCATATTATGCGATCGCATGATATGCATATGGTGCATGCTGTTGACGCACGCAGGTACGTACAAATCGAAGGCCAGGATCAAGAAAACAAATCGTCAAATGGAGAAATAAACAAGCATTCAAATAGTCATTAGAGATCTGTCGAGGTTTGTTTGTAGGCCTAGTTTATTATTTTATCTCAAATAGAATTTAGAATTATCTTATTAATAAGTTAAGAACACCTACGATGTTCTCGATCGTAGTTACTCTCATTTTGCCACCAGCCGACCTCGCTTCAAAAAGCTACCCCGCCAGCTTCCCAAGACGAACGTTTCGAGTCCCGGTAAAATTCCGAGGGTGCATCGGTTTCGCTGGCAAACTTCCAGCCCGACAGCTTCCCACCAAAAGTGGCGAGAGTGTGTGTGCGAGGAACGATTTTGGTTTCGTGAATGCACGTTACGCAACTGAGCTGAGCGGGTCACTTTCAGCTGTCGAATGTCTATAAGGACATTTTTACATCTTATTTCATTAGTTAGGCCTATGAGCTATGTAGGGCATACTCGTGATATAGGCCCCGCAACTGTTTTGAATCGATTATAATTTTATACTAGGCTTCTAACTTCAGCCAACTCACTATATATACTCGTGATCTAAGCCCCGCGCAACGGCATCGCGCGCACTTCAACACAGCAGCGGGGCCTGTATCACGACTATACTTATATACTCGTTATATAGGCCCCGCGCTACGGCATCGCGCGCACTTCAACACAGCAGCGGGGCCTGTATCACGAGTATATATTAGTGAGTCTGCTATTGAACTCGCTATATATACTCGTGATATAGGCCCCGCGCAACGGCGTTGCATGTTCTCCAACACGGACATGGGGCCTGTATCACGACTATACTGTATACTCGTGAACAAGGCCCCATCCTATGCATTTTCAAGACGGACAGCACTGTAGTGGGGCTTCTTTCACCGAAGTATAATTTAGGGGGTGTTTTGAGGTTTAACAAATAGAGCTAGCAAATGATTAAAAAGGGTTACATTTAAATGATTAAATTCATCTTTTAGACCCTAGACTCTATTTTAATATTTTTCCTTTTTTGATATTTTACCTTCTTAAATATTTTTCCTTTTTTAATATTTTTCCTTTTTTAATATTTTCGTTTTTTTAAAATAATATTATGGCCCCCTCTCTTTGAATTTATCTTTTATTTTATTTTATTTTATTTTTTTTTTTTGGGGGGGGGCCCCCCGCCCCCCCCCCCCTCTCTTTAAATTTATCTTTTAGTTAAATATTTTTCCTTTTGAAATTTTTTTTTGGGGGCCCGCCCCCCCCCCCCCCCCCCCCCCGTGGCTACGTGCCTCCCCCCCCCCCCCCTCCTCCTAATTATTATTTAAAAAATAAGTCCCTTTCAACCCCCTTTTTAACTCACTTTTATCTCCCTTTTATTGCTGTCCTTCATGAAAATGTTGGCTGAAGACTAAAGATAGAAGTCTAAGATGATTTGTAATCGATTACAAGACGGGTAAGTTGCGGGGCCTATTTCACGATATTGCCCTATGTAGACCTTTCTATACAACAGTTAAAAAGATAATTTCTTCAAATTCGCTCCTACTACCGAGAGAGTGGCGGAAGGTTTGTGTGTGAGGTGCGATTTTGATTTGGAATACCCGGCCCGGTAAACTTGCCAATTAAGTCCTTCTGACTTTCGATGTTTGTGAAATTGACAATTTATTTATTCATTTGCTCATCAATATTTTTAGTTACTTTAAAATACTGTTTAATGTGCAAGTTTGATGTTCTTAATCAATCTTTCCTGTTCATATTGTTAAGATTAAAAAGTTATTAAATTGATCGTTCGATCTATTCACATTATGAAATTAACATTTGTAGACTCTCTTTGAACTTATGATTAGATAAGCGGCCTATCTGTTTTTGGAAAATTGCCCCTTGCTCTGGTAAATTCCCGTGGCAAAGGGCAACTTAAAAAAAAAATTGCCCCTTGCTCCTGGCTGCTAAATCTAAGGCTTGCGGGCCGCCGCCTTGTTTGCAGGCGCGTAGTCAGAGTTTGGTGTTTGGGGGGGGGGGGGGGCACATACATGTAATCGATCGAGGTCAAAAAAAGGGGTCTACAAAATTTCAACTGATCCTGGAAATTTTAGGGGGGCACGTGCCCCCCGTGCCCCCCCCCCCCCCCCCCCCCCCCCCCGTGGCTACGCGCCTGCTTGTTTGTATGTACCGTAGACCTCTATACATTCTGTGAAGAAGCTGGTGCTAAAAGTCATGGGAAATTGATCCTGCACAAGTTTCATAAAATACACATGACATCTAACAAAAATAGAATCAATTTTTTTGGCCTCATACTCGATGCCCTTTTTGTAAAATATTTTGGCCTCGATGCCCTTTTTGTAAAAATATTTTGGCCTTGGTGCCCTTAAAAATATGAGGTACTCGAGGCCAAACTGGCCTTGCCCTAAAAATGACGAAATTTAAGGCCTGCAATCTCCTACATGTATCTCTTAACCCTTACTGTCCTGGATCATTTTCTAGCATCCCCCCTTATGATCTTGGCCATCGAATGTCCGATGAACACAAAAATGTGCATGTTTGTAGATATTCACCAAGTAGGAACAAGATGGTATAGTTAGATTTTCCTAATATATATGCAAATATTTGTTGTTATAGCCTAATTAATTATGCAAAATGCTAATATTTTGCATTTTACAGAAATCTCTTCATATTTGTCTCTAGTCATTTGAAGAAATAAATGTTTTCCTTCATTTTAAATTCATGAAGTTTCATTATTTTTTATGACATGGAAAACAGTCAGGAAACAAACATTTAAAATTCCAAGCGGTTGCGGCACAATCTCTGAAAAAGTGGAGGGCCAGACCCCCCCCCCCCCCTAGTAAGGGTTACATTGCGATTAATTCAAATAAAAGACTAGGTCCCTGGTTTAACTTGATATTTTAAGCACCAAGTATCAAGATCTTTTTTGTACTTGTAACTTTAATTCTGTTACAAAATGAAGAATAAATATATTAGTATTATTTATTTTTATTTGCCATGTTTTTTTTTTAAATGTAGGGTGGATGGTTAATCCGTAAGGGCTACAAACTCTATGAGAAAGTCTATCGGGACATTGGTAAAGTCTATGAAGCCCGCGGTGAAAAGATGGAAGAAACACCCGAAATGCTTGTGGAAGATGCCTCAGCAGCCCTCGAGGTGGAACCCGAATCGAACTCCAAGCCAGCCGACAGTGCCTCTAACCACTCCAACAACGAGGTCGCGACCCTTGACCTGGAGGATGATGCCTCGTTGAGTCAGAAGGACCTTGTGGCCGTGGAGGAAGATGCCTTGGCCAGGTTGAAAGGGGGTGTGTCCTTTGGGTATGGACTCCTGCAGCTTGTCATATCCATGATGCCTCCAAACCTGCTGACGGTTGTCAATCTCCTGGGCTTCCACGGTAACAAAGAGTTTGGTCTGAAGTGCCTGGATACAGCTAGTCACAGTACTGATATGAAGGCACCCCTTGCCATGTGAGTAGATACATCTGCATATTTGTACAGCAAAAGCATGCTAACATAATTTTTTATGCATTTAAAACTTCTTTTTTTTGGGGGGGGGGGGGTAGGTTCCTCAAAAACAGAGAGGTTAGTTTGAAATGTCCAGTACTGATATAAAGGTTTCCCTTGCTGTGTGCGTACCTGAGGTATTTGATCATTTGATGTCCCATAAAAGACAGAGTATTGTGGAATTTTGCATTAGAATTGACATCATAATTGTTATTTCATTTCTTACTTGGTGTAGTGGGGCTGTTGTGGCTGCTAGTGGGACAATTATCAACTCGATACTATGATCAGATAAATATCTGATGTCGTATGGGACAAAGTAGCTTGGACTTGTCCAGATATGTAATTATGTACTTGTACCGCTAAAATAGCCTGTTTAGAACATCTTAGCTTTTTTACATGTATGGTTTCACTTCAAATTGGCTTTGTGTGTGCATGATGCTTTTAAAATTTGAATACTTGCGACTTTGAAAGAAAAAAAATCTTGTTTTTTAAGAGCATGACATTTAATGAAGGAGGTCACATTTTTCAAAGTTGAATCTGCATTGCAATAATTAAAGGCAAATTCTGTGAAAATAGGGTACCTTTTGTGAATTTGATCTCAATAAGCCAAAATATTGAACCTGTCCAAGAGAAGCAGGAAAAGAAGCCACTGTAGACATGTGGCCTTACTAGACAGGTTCCATAATACATGTTCCTTTCGACAGGTAACCTTTATATAGAGGTGGTCAATAAAACTGATTTTAATGTACTTTGCATTATAACGAGCTGTATCGACATTATTTAAGGATCACCCTTGCACCCCACACTAGCCCACAAGAAACTCTCGAGCAAAAAAAAAAAAAAATCAGGAAAATTTAGTTAAGCTTTACCCATCACTGGTGCTTTATCGAAGCCTCTAATTCAACAAACTGTTTAATTGTGCATATATTTACATAATCATCATAAATACATGTACATGTATAATGATAATGATTAATAATCTGGATTCAAAAAGTGCTTAATACAAAATACCGTCTTTAAGCGCTTTACAGATATTATTATCCTGGGCATCTGTGCACCATCTCCACTCCCTAGAGAGTATTCCTACCAAATGATCATCGTGCGGGCACATGGCAATTACTAACACAAAGGCTTTAGTTATCCTAGCAGGTTCTTATTTCTCTCCTGGGTATGGAGTGGCAAATGTAGATAATGCCTTGCCAAATGATATACTGTAAGTGCCATGTCGGGATTAAACCAATGACCTTTGTATTTGAAGTCAAGTGCTTAATCCACTCGACTACGTCACCTCTAGCTTTAAATCCATATTATGATTAATGATAATCCAAATTCATAATGTTCTCTTTAACCTCTACTTCCAGGTTAACTCTACTATGGTACCATACAGTTGTCCGTCCGTTCTTTGGCATAGACAGTAAAAACAAGGCATCGTGTATCCAGGCGGCTCATAAGATACTGGGAGAGAGAAAGGCAGCGTATCCTAACTCGGCACTGGTCATGTTCTACGAGGGAAGGGTGCAAAAACTTGAGGTTGGTGCCATTAAAGGGATCCGGTAATGTTGTCTCAGATTATGAAACAAAATCCTGGATTTAGCTCATGCTGCAATGATAATTGTAAAACTTTAGGTCAGTCAGGAACCCCAAGACTTTTACAAGTCGATCGCCTGTCTGATTATCAAGATATTTATGTTTGGAATTACAAATTTTGAAAACCGTTTGCCAAACACTACAGTCTATTGAGAAAAACAACTATGGTAAAACCGGTCACTCAAAGATTTTTACTTTGTTGAGGCACTTCTTGATCATTTTGAAGCGCAATTTTTTTTTAAGGCTTCAATATTACACCATATCACAGACACTGGTAGCACGTAGGGCCATGTATCTCAGATTTAACATTGTTAAAGGGTGCCTGAGATCAACAAGATGAGTATAGAATATATCACTTCTCCAAGTTATTCGCAAAAGTAGCAATATCCCAGTGTCCATCAAACCTTTGTTTTAAAAAAAAAGATGAGTTCTGGTCATGCAATTACATTGTGAGAGAAACTGTAAGGAAGCAATTGGGAAAGGTTAATTATGTAGTACATGAGAACTGGGGGGTGTTTCACAAAATCCCAAGTCGAACTTAACTCTAAGTTGGAATTGAATATTATGGAGAGCCATTTGTAGCCTTAAAATAAATTATGTTCAAAGCGAAAATTCAAGTATTTCAAACTTTTTATAAATTCCACATTAAGAACATGAAATCTCCTTGATAAAGCCCCAGTCCCATATAAAGCCGGACCAACACGGACGAGCACGGACCACTCCGGACCATCCCGGACCATGGTCTGGGGTGATCCGGGATGGTCCGGGATGTTTTGTTAAAAAAATCACAACCGCCGACCGTCTCCCCGGACCCAACACGGTACCACTACGGACCGCCCCGGACCGTCCGGGCATAGCCCCGGCAGCAGTACAGATCATTCCAGACCCAGCACGGAGCCGCCACGGACCGTCCCGGACCACCCCGATGCCAACACGGTGCCAACACGGATGACACCGGACCATCCCGGTGCCAACACGGATCATCCCGGGTGATCCGTGTCGCCACCGTGCTGGGTCCGGGATCATCCGTAGGGGCGCCGGGGTGATCCGGGGTCAATAACTCACTCCCGGACTACCACGGATCAACACGGACCGCCCCGGCGCCACTACGGATGACCCCGGACCCAGCACGGTGGCTACACGGATCACCCCGGATCAAACTATTGTCCCGGACCGTCCCGGACCACCCCGATGCCAACACGGTGCCAACACGGATGACACCGGACCATCCCGGTGCCAACACGGATCATCCCGGGTGATCCGTGTCGCCACCGTGCTGGGTCCGGGATCATCCGTAGGGGCGCCGGGGTGATCCGGGGTCAATAACTCACTCCCGGACTACCACGGATCAACACGGACCGCCCCGGCGCCACTACGGATGACCCCGGACCCAGCACGGTGGCTACACGGATCACCCCGGATCAAACTATTGTCCCGGACCGTCCCGGACCACCCCGGCAGTTTTTGACCGTCAAAAACATCCGGGGTCGACTCCCGGACCGCCCAGGACCATCCAGGACCATCCAGGACCATCCAGGACCATCCAGGACCATCCAGGACCACCCCGGTGCCAACACGGTGTCAACACGGACCGAATCCCAGATCACCTCGGATGGGGTCCGGGATGTTCCGGGACGGTCCGGGACGTATATGGGACTGTAGCTTTATAGAAAATTATGAATGATTTGACACAACATTTTATGCCTCTTAAAAAAACTTTTACAAAATATTTTCGAAGATGCTAACGACTTTCCATAATTTTAAAGTCCAACTTAGAGATAAGTCCAACTTAAACACCCCCCTGGAATGGTCGAAATGAAAATAAATTGACTCAGTCTTGCTGAAGATCACAAGCACAGCACATAGATATGGGTATGTAGGACAACACACAAATGCTCGGCCCAAACTTGTTCAACTATTTCCTGTCATATTTCGAACACGAGGGCATTTTACGGGAAATCTCTTTCCACCATATGCAGTAGTTTATCCGCAGTCAGCTTTAATGTTAGACTTTCTCCACTCACATTCTCTGGAGCGAAGATTCTGCTTGCATGCTCTGAGTCAATCATGATACCAAGGGGCATTTGGGTGCAGCCGTATAGATGTGACTTTCACTGGGGCATGCATGTTGATATAGGGTATCAGTGACTAGTTATCATAGGGTATCAGTGACAGTTCAACCTTCTCAGATGGGTTAGGATCATCAAGATCTTTTGCACTGTCGAAGCAATCCTTGACATCATCACTGAATTCATCATGGTCTACGTTCTAGATGCTTGAAGAGGTGCATCTGATTGAGTTGTTCCATAAATTGAATTTTCATTGTATCACAATCAAAAAGGCTGTTTTACCTGTGAGACTTTCGCCTACTCGTTGCTGCAGGCATCATCAGACCGACGTTTTATCGCCAATAGATAGGGTAGTACGACAGCCCATTGTAGAGTTTACTGAATCTCTTCTCCTTCTTGGCCAGTGGAGGGTGCATTGGAGGAGCTGAGAAGACAAAAGCTGCATGGTCGGATGGCATTGCTGGTAGAACAGACACATTCGGGATTGAGTTGTCGTCTTCCCAAATACTAGGGACTTTTAGATTTGCACGACGAGAACTTGGACTGCCACGTGTGACATCCTTTTAAGGCAATGTGACGTCCTTTTAAGGCACTGGCAGTGCCCGGCAGTGCCTTAAAGGGACGTCACATGTGGCAGTCCACGTTCTTGTCGTGCAAATCTAAAAGTCCCTAATAATGAGGTCCAGTGTATGTCCCCGGTTGGTCGAGAAATGACTTGTTTCAGACCACATGAATCCCGCATGTCATGAAGTGTTCTAGTGCCGAGAGTTAGGGGGTCATCGACGTGGATATTATAGTCACAGCAGATTATCAATTGGCTGCTTTATGCATTGATTGACTCAAGGAATCATGAGTAAGGATGAAAAATAGATTACCGGTAGACTGACAATATGAAATAATAATGCTATATCGAGGGTTCAGTGACATAGCTCCATATTTTGCCAAAATGAGTTTTTGATATCAAAATTTTCAGAAAATTGTGGGCTTTCCAGGAAACACAAATACTTAACTCCACCCAACACCCCATTGATGGCTAGTGATACATAGTGATACATATACTTAACTCCTTAAGGCCCAAGTGCTCAGTGACACATAAACCACTTTTTCTCGAAATGGCCAAAATGGAGTTACAGTTGTACGTCCTTGTGTCACTGATACCTCGATAATATCCATTTCTTACAGTAACATTCCACAGATTCATTTCAGTTAATCAGTTAATCAGTTAATCATGTTAATTAAAAATATATAACTTGCTTACATGACAGGGTGACTTGGATGGTGCCTTAAAGACGTACGAGGCTGCGTTGGAAGCCTGCTCTGAACAGAGAGAGATCCAACTGATATGCCTCTATGAGCTGGGATGGTGCAATCTCATGAGACTCAACTGGGAGGAGAGTCTGCTAGCATTCGCCAGGTTAAAAGAAGAGTCCAGATGGGCGCAGAGCTACTATACATACCTGACCGCAAGTAGGAATCATTGTAGCTTAGTTAATTTCATTGGTAGAATGTCTTGAAATTTAGTGCTGTTTTAGGATGATGTACGTTTGATGTTTCTGCATTATGCATTCCTTTTTAATACTTGAGTGTACTAGCACAATACCTACAAGAAATGAGCTTTTTGTTTAATTATTGAGAATAAAATAATGTAAGGCATTTACAAACAGGACCATTGTGGGACAATTTCTACGTACCGGTAGATGAATTTGGTGCACAGATATCAGCACAATATGTTGTCATATTAATCGCATTCATACAAATACCTTTTTCATGCCTGCCTACAGTCATCAGTTTTAAATGCCAAATCTTGTTATGATGATATAAGAACACAAACAAAGAGATTTCTGCTTGTCAGGTGTTATATTCTAAACTTTATCAGAAAGCACTTGGTCTAATCTAGACTGATGCTTCACAACATGTTAATGAGATTCAGCAACCTATGTATGAAATAACCAGAATTGTTCTCTCTTTTTTTTCTTTTTTTTTTCTTCATCTTCTTTTTTTTTAAATGTAGTTTGCAAGGGGGTACTTTATCAAATCTAGATTTCTTGAGAACAGCCTAACTAAGGGTCCACTAAACCCAGGGGAGGTAAATGGGTACCTGGTAGGATTATTCCTACAAATGCACTCTGCACTGATAACGGCTGCCGGAGCTAAAGCTAGGGTAATAATTTCCAAAGCTCTTTGGAAGTGCATAGAGATGCAATTTCATAACGTATTATGCGCTATTCAAGAACTGAATATTATTATTATTATTTTTATAATCTCATAATAACATAGATCTATGCAATGCCTGGGTTATACAGATAATCCCAACTGACACCCTTTGTCTTATTCTCTAGTTTGTCAGGGGGCACTCGGTCAAGTCGAGACAGCCCAAGAACTCTTCAGAGAAGTTCCAGGCCTTACGAAAAAGAAGAACAGCCAGCTGGAGTCCTTCGTTCTTCGCAAGTCCAACAAGTTCAAGAAGAAACTTCCAACCCAGGCTCAGGCGAAGCTCATGGCCATTGAAGTGCTTTATCTATGGAAGGCAATGCCTGATTGTAAAGAAGAAGCATTGAGGCGCATGCTCAAAGGTAAATGTTTTCTTTAGGTAGATTTAAAGGGATCGTTTAACAATGTTAAATCTGAGATGCACGGCACTACGTGTTATCAGTGTCTGTGATATGGTGTAATATGGAATCCCTAAAAAAATTGCGCTTCAAAACGATCAAGAAGTGCCTCAAAGAAGTAAAAATCTTTGAGTGACCGGGTTTACCATACTCGTTGTCCCCAATAGACTGTAGTATAGCGAAAACCGTTAGGAAAACGCAAAATTTGGTTTCAATTTCCAATCATAAATCATGTTAAAGTCATGGGGTTCCTGACTGACCTAAAGGTTTATAATTATCATTGCAGCATGAGCTAAATCCAGGATTTTGTTTCAGAATCTGAGACAAAGTTACCGGATCTCTTTAAAAGCGAAATGTACGTAGTGGCACGAAAAGATGCATCTTGAATGCAAAATGCATAAGTGTTGAAACTTGAAAATCATAATTTTATCACATAAGGCTAGTACCCCATCGTTGGGATATGGGGCTGGTAAATACATGCACTTTCTCAATTAGGCCTAAACCACACTTAGAGGTTTAAAAAAAAGATGTTGTATTGCCCTCTGCGACTGACCCAAACATTTTATAAATCTACGGTCGGCTTTTTTCTTACTGTTAAAAAAAAATGTTTAATGAATAGAAAAATATTTATTAAAGCATTCATAACTGAAAAATATTAGCCCAAAGAGGGAAAAAAAAGAAGGAAAAAAAAAAATTTAGAAGAAAAAATATTTCTGACCGACCAACCCATATTTTGGCACCTAAAGGGCGATACAACATCTTCCTTTTTTATGCCTTATGTAACCTAGACTTACACATGTATATTGATATAAATGTACATGTACAGTATGTCCAAAAGGAAATTTGAATGAACAAAAATCACTAACTATTATGCCTATTATTTCGTTCAGCTACCTTAGAATAATTAAGTGCAGTGAGTTCCATTTCACGGCCAAGTTTAGAGTTGGAAAATGTTGAGAAAGTGAAGCTTTATCATTTCGGCTCAGCTATCATTGTATGGCGTGCAGACGTTCAAGAAATTTACATCCCATCTATCTTTAGTCCAAAAACAATGACATTAATCGCCTAAAAATTATTTTTGGAGAGCAAGTATGTATACAATTCGACCCAAGAATACTTTACCAAACAATAGAAGGGTTGACAGTTAATCAGTATGAAGAAAATAAGAAGAATATTTTTTTTAATGGAACATAATTCTAACTTGGGTTCTGTGTGTGCCCTTTTCTATGTGAGTTTGTACAGATGCACTGACTTGTCTATTTACAGATATGTACTATGTTTACCAGTGACAACGATGTTACTTGCAGCATTTGTTTTTAAAGAAAGTAACATTTGAAGCTGAATATTTTCAGTATATCATAATCTAATAAAACTCTTATATGATAAAGAGTTAACTGTAATTTGGTGATTGATCCTTATTAATTCATTAAATTACTTTCAGCGTCCAAATGTTGGGCTTCTGATTATCAAGCTTATATATGCTTATTTGAATAGCCCCTACATATGACTCCAATCGATTTGAGCAGTATTGCATAACTGTTTTGTTTTCTTGTAATCATGGGTTTATGCACCATTCAATCTGATTTGTAAATGAATGAAGTTGATATGCAGAATAACAAAAGTGAAGTAAATAAATAGTGAAGGTCTCATATTGTCCCAAAATTTCACTTTATCGATTGCGAAGCTTCATAATCGTCGCATCTTTTTACTTTCACAGAGTGCGATGCGGCCGACAGCGACAAATCACATAAAAGCTTGATATCACTACTAAAAGGTGCCATACACCGTTGCCTTGGTAACATAGAGATTGCCATGCAGGTAAGATGTTGAGATGACATATTTTCTGAATAAATCAAACAGAGTTTTAACTTGATAATGGGCAATATTTGAGGTGTTGATGAATTTATAAATTGCTTTGACCTGTTGCTAGCTTAAAATTCTAGTATAAGGTACCGGGAAGACCAAGATCCAGCTAGGAGGAGAACGTTAAGACTTCATAGAGTTGATCGATTTTGCAAGAGTGCACTAAAATGGCAGAGAACAGAGTGTGTGGACACGTGTTGCAATCAACCTCCAAACTGGGAGAAGATAACGTAATAGAGGAATAGGTTTTACCATTTTGCTAAATTGACATCTTATGAAAAATTATTTTGTCTGAAACATTATTATATTATTCTTTTTTTTAAAACAGCACAAACAAATTGAAAATAAAGTGACCTACTCTCTCTGAAATATTTTGATTGAGCCATGCTTAGGTGTTAAGTAGTCACCTGAAGAATCAAAATTGTTTTGAATTGATGCAAAATTCATATCATTGCGAAGGGGAAAACCTTACTAATCAAATATAACAAATTCCTCTTCAAAATATGTTTGGGGCCCGCAGTAATCATCTCTCCAAAAATGTTCATTTTGAGATCCAGATTTTCTGCCTTCAGCGGTCTTCCGTAGAGCATCAAGATTCGTGACATCACATGCGAGATACATCTAGCCACAAAATTGCATTTTACACCTTTCCATGATATCTATATGATTTGTCAGCTAATTATTCATGTTTTTCACGTCGCCCTAAAAAAAGTTTAGGTGACTACTTTAACGTAATATAGCTCTTTGACTGTTTAGTGGCGTCATTGTGCTGTATTGGTAAAATGGACTATGGACTCTCATATGAGAAGTTCTCAGTTCAATCCTTTCTCTGTGCTCACATCCTTGCACAAGGTGTTACTGTTGATGTATATCCACATTTTTTCCTCTCAGGGTTCTAGGACACCTACCCTCTGGAAATCCACCCCCGGATAAACACCCCCCGTCAACTACCCCCTAGGACAACTACCCCTAGGGCGACTACTACCCAGACGTCTACCCCCCAGAAAACTACCCCCTACGACAATCATCCTCTAGGACAACTATCCTAGGGGTAGTTGTCCTAGGGAGTAGTTGTCCTAGGGGTAGTTGCCCTAGGGGGTAGTTGACTGAGGGGTAGTTGTCCGGGGGTAGTTGTCCCAGGGGGTAGTTGTCCTTGGGGGTGGTTTTCCTGGAGGTGGATGTCCAGGGGGTAGTTGTCCGGATACACTTCTCAGGCCTTCGCCCTGTTTCATAAAACTTGTTCTCAACAACAAATGCTGGAAGTCTGTGGCAGATTTGCTTTCAGCCAATCAAATGCCATGATTTCAGTAGCTTACAACTGCTATTGGAACTTGTTATTGATATTAAAATATGGTTCATGAAACGGGGAGAAGGTGAATAATATGATTACCCCTTTATAATGCTAGGGAGTAATAACCACTGGGCCCTATGGAAGCGTTATATTAATATTATTGGTGAGGTTACCCTAGGAAATATTTATATAATATTGAACGAGTCAAGGACAAGTCTAATATTGTCTTTAATAGCGAGAGCAATTTTTTCTAGTATCACACGAAAACAATGCCATACAATATTATTATTATTATCTATATTAGTCTGACTAGCGAAATAACAAAATTTGACTTACCTCGGTAAATATGGCTCTGTTTTTGTGTGATATCGATATGATATCGATATCAATAGTTGAAGTTCCTGGATGACTGAGCAATACAAAACAATATTGGTCAGTCATCCGGGTAATGCCCTAAAGATATTGAATACACTGATTTATTGTATCACTTTAAGCCTTGTATAGATAATAATACCACATATTGTTACATGTATATTATGACCTAAATAAACTTTCTTGTGTTTTTTATCTTGTAAGTGTTTTGAGGATTGTATGTCAAGGTCGTCTGCCAAGGAGCCTGAAGCCCATGCAGCTCCATATGCCTGCTTTGAGCTGGGTGCTATGTTGGCTGGAGGGCAAGCGGTATGTACAGGGATCAGGGGGTGTTTCACAAAGATTCTAAGTCAAACTGAACTCTAAGTTGGACTTAAAATTTATGGAGAGCCATGTGTAGCCTTATAATGAAATATATTCAAAAGTGAAGATTCAAGTATTTCAGACTTTTCATAAATTCAACATCACGAACATGAAATCTCCCATGATGATAGATAATATGAATGATTTGAATCAACATTTTATGCATTTTGAAATAACTTAACAAAATATTTTCAAAGATGCTAGAAGCTTTCCATAATTGTTAAGTCCAACTTAGAGATATGTTCAACGTAGGATCTTTATGAGACACTTCCTTAGGGATACCTTAGAACTAGGGCAGACTCGGCATCGCAGTGCTATGAGATGCCAAGAACTCAATTTGAAGCTACATATTTTGGAGCTGTAATAATTAAAAAATTCTATGGCTTATTTTCAAGAAGTTCACATCTTTAAATTTTCCTGAGTATTTATTCGGTTTGTAACTTTTTTACATATTCTTGGCAAGTAAACTTAAAAATGATGAGAAGATCACAGAAGTATATTTGATTGATTCATAACTCTCCTCCCTCTCTTAGTTCGGCCTCAATGTTTTGCCTATTTCAAGTTTTCCTAGTGCTGGGTGAAAGCACTGTGAAAGCACTGTGGTGTAGTGTTATTTCACTTGACTTTTAAGCAAGAGGTTAAGGGATCAAATACGAGATAGATAGACAGTCCTACTCCTTTATACACAGATGCAGCAAATGAGTGCATAATACATTTTTGTGTGTGTGTGTGTTTAGTGTGGACACTCAGAAGCTTTTGTTCACTATTTTCTTTTGTGTCGTTTTGCTTTTGCTACATACTAGGTTTCATCTAGTAGTTTGATTCTGAAAATATGCTAAATCGCATCAAAGATGTCATCATTCATTCATTTTTGTCTCGCCTGCGTAGCAAAAAGCGAGACATAAGCGAGTCACTTTTCCGGTGATGGCGGCGACGGCGGCGGTATCAACATCATCAAAGTTTTTGAATTTTTGATATTATTTTTAAAGTATAAGTTCTTAGTCAATGAAACTTTGACTATAGGGTAATCAAGTATCCCCAATCATGTAAGTAGAATTTCAGATCACAAAGTCAAGGTCAAAGGTCATTTTAGGTCAACAGACTTGGACTATGTTGTAGCATCATCATCGAAAACTTAACCTAAGGTTAAGTTTTTGAATTTTTGATATAATTTTGAGAGTATAAGTTCTTAGTCAATGAAACTTGGACTATAGGGTTATCAAGTCTCTCCAATCATGTGAGTAGAATTTCAGGTCACTAAGTTAAGGTCAAAGGTCATTTAAGGTCAACAAACTTTGACTTTGTTGTGGCACCAACATCAAGATTTTCAAAATGCTTCTTCTTTGTTATTTTTCAACCGATTTTGATTTTGATTGTTTCATACAATAGGGCTAGGAGAGGGATTTAAAATTTCTACACAGAATCGTGAAATTCATTATCTATGCTAATTTATGCAAATTTATTCGAAATCACAAAAAAGCTTCTTCTCCTTCATTTCTCGACCGATTTTGATTTGGTTTGATTTATATCGTAGAGCTAACTTTGGTACATTAAACTTCTACACAGAATTTTGAAGTTGTTCTCCATTAATTAATTATGGTAATTTATGCAAATTTATTCCAAAAATAACAAAAATTGCTTCTTTTCCCTCATTTCTAGACTGATTTTGATTTGGTTTGCCTTATCTGGTAGAGCTAAATTTGGAACACTAAACTTCTACACAGAATTGTGAGATTTTGCTCCATTGATTATTTATGGTACTTTATGCAAATGAAATGAAATTATGTCCCTTCTAGGGCATCAAAAGTTCAAAAGTGTACCACATAAAATTTATGATATTTGCTGTTGCGAGATGCAGATGAGCGCTACGTCATTGACGTTTTGGTTTTTCATATTGAATTGCGTTATGCAGGCGAGACCGCCGAGAGCGTTTCCCTTGTTTTTATTTTGGCTATGTTTCAATAAGGTTTTAATCTTTAAAATTTTGATAATTTGAAATGTGTATTATGAAGAGAATTTTTATTATGGTAGCAGTTTATCCTTGCCGACAATGATTATTGGGTAGATAAATTATCTATGTTGGTTGTTATTTCTACAGACTGCAAGCAAAGGAAAGAGCCTCATTCTCAAAGCAAAGGTAGGTGAAAAACAGGGGAGTGCTTCACAAGAATATGATCCACTTTAAGTTGGACTTAACTATGGTAGGCCGTTCATGCCATTTTTCCCTCTAACCATTCCTGACATTGGTTTCTCAAGGGACATACAAATCACGGTCACATATCTACAGATTTTTAATATATTTTGATAATTAATTATTGAAGGAAAAAATGATATCTAAAGATCATAATTGAGAGACCAATGGTAAGATCAACCAGTGGCATGAATAGCCTGCCATAGTTAAGTCCAACTTAAAATCGATCTTAGTCTTTGTGAAACACTCCCCAGGCCATATTTTATATCCATAGTCACACACCAGTGGGAAAAACTCTGTCCAGTTCTAAGAAATAGTGATTCACTTGATTTTTTTTTTAAAATCAGAAAATATACCTCTACAATAGACCATTTTCATAATGTAATCAAATTTAATGCATAAGTCTTTGTGAAGTGCCTCAACACAATTATTTCATTCACCTGATAAGAATAATAGTATTTCAATAGAGAGAATCCGAACTGCATACATTAGTTGTTGCCAGGTTGGACAAACATTATGGCTTGACCTACCTAGCAACACTTAATATATGCAGTTGCATTCTGACTATTAAAATACAATTATTCTTATCAGGTGAATGAAATAATTTGTATTGAGGCACTTCACAAAGACTTATGTATTAAATTTGGTTACCTTACGAAAATGGCCTATTCTTCTTGATATGTTCATAGTCCGAGGGAAAGCATTCTGTTTCTTCCGGAAAAGATGCTATTTAAATCAATTCTTCTTCTTCTTCTTCTTCTGCTTCTTCTTCTTCTTCTTCTTCTTCTTCTTCTTCTTCTTCTTCTTCTCCTCCTCCTTCTTCTCCTTTTCCTTCAACTCACATAACCCATAGTCTACTTAATCTTCAAAAGCATTATTAAGAATACAAGTCTAATTCCCCTTTTTAGAATTTTATGACAGAATACTATTCAGTCATTTTTTTGCATTTTTACTCTTTCAGGATGGCTACAAAGACTATGACTTTGAGCAGAGGTTGAGCGTGAGGATACATGCCGCCTTGCAGCAACTTAAAGGAGTAGAATAATACATGAACAACACCAGTACCCAGTATGAGGATAGCAAACTTCAAAGTACGAGCATCGAAAACCTTCAACGAAATATGATTCCTGTAAGTGGGTGGTTATTGAAGTTTTTAATCAAGAACAAAAAATTATGTGATAGCAAACCTTTTATTCCTGTAAGTGCATGGGTACCGGTATTCATTGAAGTTTTTGTTAATCAAGAAAAAAACATTAATGCCGAGAATTAATCTAGCTATTGTAATCATATTTGGATGTTGTTATTCAGTGTGTTTCTACAGGAGACCTCGAAAAATAATGGTAGTGTCAATTATACCAGGAGCGGTAACTTAACCAGTCTGCCTAAACGGTATCGCTATTAAACGGATTCATTTTTGTAGAACAAGAAGGCGATTGTACCCAGATGAAAAACCATCTCTGGAGATGTCTATGCTTTTCTGTAAGCTTTAAAAACTGATTATAGTGTTTCTACACAAGCACATACCTGGAGAAGTCTAGAGCTTAACGTTATTTGACAATCCTGTAGAAACATGCAAATTTAGAGCAAAAAAGGTGTTAAATCATGGTAAACACCTTAAACCCTATACAGCCGAGGGGGGGGGGGGGGGCTTCTAAAGCCCCCCTCCCACTACATTTTTCGCGATAATTTTTCTTACTTCTTTTTACTTATTTCTTTCTTTACTTTTTTTTTTTGGTGAGTTTTGGGCATCTTTTGACCGTTCTTTTACCGTTACAAAGCCATGTGTCCTTTTGTCTTGTGTACAAAACATATGGAAATATCATTTTTCCAAAAAAGAGATAAAACATTGGTTATTTGTTCTTGTTAATAGTTATGGTGTTTGTTTTGGGGGTCAAAATAGTTGAATTATAGTTAGAACTGAAATAAAACATCAAAAACAATAAACAGGGATGCCAGTTTTCAGGCAAAAGCCTGAGTTCAGGCCCTGCCAATTTATTTTCAGGCCATAGTTGAGGTTTTTTGTGTAAAAAATAGCTCATTCTAGGTGTTTTCAGGCCCTCTGATCAATTCTAACTGGCATCCCTGATTAAATACATAAGTTGAGAAAAACAAAGAAATAGCTAAGAAATTATCAAAACAATAGAAAACATAAGGAATAACGTGACTCTTCCAAATTTTTGTTGTATTATTATTCCTAATGATTTAAAGAATTTATGTAGTGAAAACGAATGTTCAAATATGAAGAATATATGATTTATGTTTAAAAATGTGAATTTTATGCCCTTAATTGCATAAATTACCATAAATATGGAATTGAATGAATTTTTCACAAAAGTATTGTATACACTTAACTTGACATGCATGCAATTTTTTTGCTGCGAATCAGCCCTTTCACAGCCGAGATCTTAGGCCCACCCCCCCCCCCCCCCCCCCCCCCCCCTCCACTGGGCTATGCAGTTTCAAAATAGCCCGGGCTATATAGGGCTAAGGCTCTTAGCAGGTGATGTGTTTTTATTACAATTTCCTACAGGTACCTTTGCATACAAGAGGAATCTTTTATATCAAATTTCATACCATACCAGCAATTTGTATATCTTTTGATATCACACAATCATGTACATACATCCAGTGTATTTGCCTGTAAAGTACAATAACTAAAGCTAATGGGTGGTATTCTCATAAGTTAAGCCTGGACTAAGTCCAGACTAAACAAGAATTTTAGTTCACACTTCTATGGAATGCTAGGTTTCATCTTCCTCCTTCAATATTCATGACAAAGATAATCTATCAAAGACTTTGTTGAAATTCAGTTCATACTCATATTATCGTTTTCTTCCCATTTCATTGCAAAATTAATTTTTTTGACACTTTTCATTGAAGGATTAAAATAATCTGTACAGGGTAAATGAGTTGGCAACTGGCACTCCATAAAAGTGTGAACTAACTAAATGCGCGCTAACTTAGTACGCGCTACCGGAATACCACCCAATGAATTTTACATGTATTTAGATTTTATGGTGTTTTTTTTTCATTCAAGAGGATCTTGGGAAATGATATTGATATTTGATGTGAGATTTTGGAGGTATAGCATTTATCTAATCCTAAAAGCATGACTGGGTGACTTTGCGTCTTTGACCCCCATTTCCTTTCTTCATTTTAATTTAAACAAGAAAAATGTGTGTCTTTTAGTTTTCTTCGGAAAAGAAAAGGAAACAGATGTATTTGAGTTTGTAGTGTATTTAAGATAAGGGAAAGGTGGCCTCGCACTTTGTTTCTAAGTCTATTCTTTGCTTTAAACAAATTAAGAAAAAAAGAAGCTTTGTTTGATTAATGTTTTAATTACACGCAAATTATAATAAATGCCCTTTTCATTGCATGTATATGTACATCATGCGACATCATCACCTCGTACATGATACAAAGCGTTTTGATGTCCCGGCCTTGTTCACTCTTAAAGATCATTCTTTGGGTATTTGATTTGATTTGATTTATTTTCCAATGGCAAATAGCGTAAGTGAAATACAGCTTCATGCAATGATTCTAGTCATGTAAAAGAAGAAAAGTATTGATTGATAAAGAGAGACCAGTTGTTTACAAAATGTGCCAGTTAAGATGAATACCTGTGTATGAGACCATTGGAAAAGAATTTTAAGCTAACGTAGCAGAAATACCTTGTATGTTTTTGTAAGTTATTTCTCTGGGATTAACCATTAACTCTCCTCCAGTAGTTGTAATGATAATAATAATAAATCTTGATTTATATAGCGCTTAATACGGAATACCATCACTAAGCGCTTTACAGATATTTTTATTACCCGGATGTTGGATTCATTCATGTGTGTGCACAGTGTGCACAAATTCCACTCCCCGGGGAGTACAATTTTTTAAAGATAATCTGCACATGAAAAGAAAATGTTTAAACATCTGAAAAGATTAGGAAAGAGATGCAAGTCATTAAAGTGACTTGGTAACATTGTTGAAGGTTGATGAAAAAATTGCTTAATTTTTGTATAAAATGTTACTTACTATATTCCTTCCACTGTACTAATCCTCTGACATGCAAAAAATCCTGAAAAAATTCTCAAACTAGGAAGATATCTATAAGATGTATAACACCCTCTAACAGTGATTAACAGTAAATTCTCCCAACCATTTTTGAATTTTCCCAACCTTTTTTCCATGAAAAAAAGACATAAAACAGGCTATAAAAAATCTGTCAACACTTAAATGTCTGGAATGGAATGTTGAGCCATTTTATTGCTTTTTGACGATTTCCATTCACCTAAAATGTAATTAAATTGTAATAATATAGTTGAGAGAATTAAGGAATAGATCAGATCAGTTTTTCTCAATTTGTACCATGAATAATGGTCCGTTTTCACTGAAATTTTCAGATTATCTTTAATTGTACATCTTGCATTGAAGTCACTACCTTAGCACCACTCTATCTCTCATCTGAACAATGTTACCTCTTTTTAAATTTTTGTAAATTCTTAGTATACTGTCAAGTTTACAACTGTTTAAGCCACATAAAAAACATGTTTTTATTATTAGTCACATCTTGATATAATGTAGATTTTCTTGAGAACAACAAACACAAATACTGACCATTTTGCTATTTTAGGACTAGACAAATTAATCATAAAGTCACTCACTCAGGATGGCGTGATACTTCAGAAGTGGTTCTTTGTGTTTAGTTGTGTCACGGAGATGTGCGCTTCTTTTTTTCTTTAGTTTTGAGATTGCCAAATAACCCGCTATTTGAACTATCCCGATCGCAAATTATCCAGCTAATTTCGTCTCCATCAGCCTGCAGTTGCAATTAGCGGGATATTAGGTCGAGATAATCATCCCAAGATATCTTGGGCTATTTTGCAAAATATCCCGCTATTTGTCACAAGCCCGAAGACTCTCACTATGCGCGAACGCTGAGCAAAATATCCCAAGCTAATTTCTTGAGCTCGAGTTTGGGGTTTCAAGTTGGGGGTGTTTCACAAAGATCCTTAGTTGAACTTATCTCTAAGTTGGACTTAACAGTTATGGAAAGCCATTAGCATCTATGAAAATATTTTGTAAAAGTTATTTTAAAAAGCATAAAAAGTTGATTCAAATCATTCATATTTTCTTTTATCAAGGAAATTTCATGTTCTTGATGTGGAATATATAAAATGTCTAAAATATTTAAATTTTCGCTTTTGAATATATTTTATTTTAAGGCTACAAATGGCTCTCCATAATATTTAAGTCCAACTTAGAGTTAAGTTCGACTTGGGATCTTTGTGAAACACCCCCCAGCACTGTATAAAGGTCCTTGAATCTCAGTACAAATACGGACCATAGTCTCTTTTCAGGCTCATGGGATGAAAGCAACTTGCATCCCCGCAGATATGAATAAACCTGCCGAGCAATGTGAAAGCCCTCTTGGGCAACATTCGGTTGTAGACTCTAGTAGAGGACAGGGAATTAAGATTATGTTTGTATATATCGGTCGATATTCAAATCATTCTAATATAAAGTGATATAATCATGTTATTTCACAGCAAATGTTGTAATGGGAATCAATCATTCCAGAACTAGCATGTAATGCTTGTAGATAAGTTTTGACACATCTATCTCTTTGTCAATATATTATATGTCTGTCTGTCTGTGTCCCATCATTCTAAAATTCCTGTTTTCTTCCTGTATATGTCTGTATGTCTCTTCTCTCTATGCCCATCTCTCTCTATTACCCCCTCTGTCTTTTTCTCTGTCTCTGTATTTCTGTCTGTCTGTCTGTCTGTCTCTCTCTCTGTATATCTATTTCTGTCTGTCTCTCTCTTTCACTTCCATCCTCTCATATTTCCTTTGTATCAGTTTCTTTGAACATGTAGTTGCATGATATCCTTTGAGTAAATGTAAACTCTTGTTGAAATTATCGTGTTTGAAGGAATTGAAAAGGAAAGAAGAGGTATTTTTTACCAAACCCTACGCATGAAAAGTGATATTTTGTATTCTATTGTGCAATGATGTGGCATTTTTCAGTGATTGATTTATTTCATATGGATTTTAATTTCAGGTTTGCATTATTTGGATAGGAATGAACTTAATTTGTAGTGGGTATAAGTTAGGTAGAATTTAAACCATGTGTATGTGATATTTTTGTGTAGTATTTGCTCTGTTTCTTGGGGACGGGGAGATCCAAGAGATAAATGTGTCTCGAGATACCTCTTTGATAAGTTTGACTTTTCTTGAAAATACTATATTGATCATGAGTGGAAAGGGTTTATGTATCTCTCCATGGACACTTGTCTAGTTTAAGAATGATCGCAATTCAATTTGTAAATATTGATTTGTACCTGTAATCAAAATTGTAAATAATAATGTCTACCTT